TTTTCGATATAGATTTTGCATAAGATTGGAAAGCCATCTTCATGTAATTTCTAATGGTGGCGCAATTAGGCTTCAACTCTCATCTGTGAGAATGTCATCAGCATTTTGCATAGCCGCGCTCAGATTCGAAATTTCATTGTTTTAACTTTGTTGCCCATATTTCAGGCGCGGATAAACAAATTCTTTCGAAAACATACCTTTTGCATGGAATGAGTACTGTTCAAATACTGCACGCTCAAATTAGATTTTTTAAAAAATCTGTACTTAGAAATCCAAGCACCAAAGTAGATGCTCGCTGCTGGCATTCTATGTCTCAAAAATTTCATATAATCAACGCATTCGTCAAAGCTTCGCATTTCTGTAGGCGTGAGATTAGCATTCTATCTACAATTTTTGCAGATTTACTTAGCTATTCAGTGAATCAAGGAATAATTTACACTTGAGACTCTCAGGCCTACTGTAGGTAGGCTCAAAAAAGTGAAAATTTTAGATTTTTATCTTCTCTTTTCGCATCTTCTTCGTTGTAGTATACTTTCTATACACACGTACACTACCGGCTTGCGGCTACAAAGTAAGCTACTAATCACTTATAGAAACATAACTCAAAGGGAATTGTAATCTCCCAAAGTTTATAGAAAAAATACTATTGGTTTTTTGACATACGCTCTTCTTTCTATTTGCCATATCGGTATGAGCAGGGCCGCCTTAAATTGAGAGAGGTTCACTGCTTTTGATGGTCTTGATTAATTCAAGAATTCAAAGACTAGACAAAGCTATAGCTTTTCGCACCAACCTAATATGTTTGGAGGTAATTGTGAGTCAAAATTTTCAACAAAACTAGCAAAAACTAACAAAAACTAACAAAAAACAACACTAGCAAGGTATACCGTTATCTAGCACATAGGTTAGTATTGCAGCAACACTGTGGTCTAACTTCTTATCAACTTCAGGAATCACCTTTCTTTTTCAAACATCGGATAGCAGACTCATTGTACATGAGAACAATATTTTCAACTCCAAAAAAGAATCAAGGTATTACATAGGCAACAAAAGGATGAAGTCGTTTGTAAAGGACAGTATCAGAAAAAAATGCATTTCACGAAATGGAGTTTGTCGATCCAAAAGTTTGTACTAGTAAACATCTGCAGTAATCATAACACCTATTATGTCAAAGAGATTAACCTTCAATATAAATATATGTGTGGCCAGCAAAAGCAAAAAGATAATGCAATGCTCAGCCTATTATTGAATCATTATTATTGAACTTATTCAATTCGCCTGATGGGTGATGCGAGAAAATGTAAGAAAAACTACTCCATTGAATGGAAGATTAAAATCTACATAGCAATTTTTTTCACTCCTAAAACGAAGTAATTAGGAGTGAAAAAAATTGACGAAAATATGACTGCGTTGTCTGGCCCTTAGTGATGAGTTACCTAATATAAATCCTAGAGACGATAAATTTCTTACGCTAATCTACTGCGATGCGACTTATTCCTCGAAAGCCAGCGATGCGAAAACATCCAAAGCGAGAACACCCAACTAGAACTTTTAGAAATACTACCGTATTGACACTTCAATGCCAAATATGATGTGCGTAGCTTGTTGACATATATGCAACAAAAATCACACTAGTATATGATGACTAGTTTCACTTTGACTACATAGTTACTGTTTTTATCGCACCTTCTCCCGAGATATTTTTGAGTCAGTGAGTAGCTTTTATTTTCTCAAAAATAAGTAAAGCTTACAAACGAATGAATAAGTCAAAAAGCGCTAAGGTAAACTGGAAAAGCTTGCTGCTGCAGTGAGATATTGGAAGATGAAAAAAGAGAGTGATAACTCCTATACAAAATTGCTTCAGTAAATAAAAACGTTATAAAGATGCCAAAAAAGGCCAGGTGCTCAAAATGATGAGCTTCAATTTTTTTATAATTTCTGAAGCTAGGATCGCCGGTTAACCAGACGTAGATGTTCGAAATAGAGCCAGCAGTTTTGGCAGAAGGTAGCTGCCCAAGGTACCTTCAGCCTACTCTGTCAATTTGGAACTTAAGAGTCTATTCGATTGAAGGTCTACCCCTGGTGTTTCCATGAGAAATGTGAAAGTTTCATCGATATGATTTAGAAGATTAAAAATTGAACATAAAGAGGTTTCGATGATAATGAAGCGACTGCTTTCCAAAATTCTAGACGTAGCACTAGCCGGTGTAGATGAAACTGAAGATGAACACGACTTCCATGTTTTCAATGGACAAAATCCATAGCCTACGAGAAAAGAAACACCAGACTGGAAGAAATTTCATCATTACGCTTTAACTCTACAGTGGAAGTCCAAGCTCGAAAGCGTCTTTCTTTTGAGTGGAAAGAAATGATCGTATTGTCATTTGAGTAGAGTTTAGAGAATGACTCCAACACGAATTTGTATTACCAATAAATAGCCTTAGTGACATGTTTTAATAGAACCCTTTTGCGACTGTAAAATTTCTGCACTTTAGAACAGTAGTGAGCCTTTCCTTCAAGACTTTCCTACTGTATTGATGCTCCTTATTTCCTGTAGAAATATGTCCACAGTGACCTCCTGAGAGGGAACGGAAGAGCTACGGACAGCAATTTTCCTAGCGACTGGTCGAAGATTGACTCAGCGTAATATGTAGCGACAAAAAGAAGAGCGACGACCATCGTCGAAGAGGCGACACCAAAACGAAAGCGCCGAAAGCAGCAAATGTGAATAGGGCGCAGGTTGGAACAATAACCGCGCACCTGTCGAGCGAAAAAGTTGACTCCCCGCTTGGAAATGAGGTAGTCGATCGATCTGAAGCTTGATAACTGGAATGGGATGCTGCCAGCACAACACATGAGTGACGACGCCAGTCACGGCAACAACCCGCCCGCATTTTCCTTGCTTAGCCCAATTATTGCTCGTCACCGTCTCCGCTAGTGCTTGAACCAGCGCTTGTCTGTCAAAAATGGAAACAAATTTAACGACAGAAGAGGTTGCACCGTCGTCAATATACGGTGTACGCAATGTAAAAATTTATTATGACAGCCAAAAAAATCTCTCGGTATATGCATAACTTCAATCAGCCTAAATGTTCAAGAAAGCGCATTTTTTCAGGCTTTAAGTCTTCATTAAGTTCATACAAAATGAGGGCTTCCCCTCCTTCAACAATGAGTAGCGAATTTTTCGGTTATCTGCATGGGTTATGAAATTAAGTAAGTAAGTTTATTTGCAAATGTTCGAAATAATTTTCCAAATTCAGTTACCTGTATAAAAATCATTTTTCGTCTCGCTCAATCTGAAAGAGGCTGCAAAATCAAGGATAGCTCTCAAGTAACTTAGACGGATTTCAATTCAATCTAATGAAAATATATGAAATTAACCACTATATTCAGGAGCTGTGATTGAGCGTCAACTTGAACACACCGCATGTGGTGTGCAATCGCACACATATACCATAATATGTAACAGCTAGTTATGGAGCTGGAAACAATAACGCTGCTCGTCTGTAGAAAGCTATGCTAATTTTGTAGTGTGCATTGCATGGAAACTTCTACCCAAGGCCAAAATACGGAGAACAGAGAACCTAACGCAATGTGTGGCATAAATTGCAATGTTGAGTCAACTACTACAATTTTTTTTCAAAACGAGTAAGTTCTCCTGAGAGCCTGCAGAATTTGTATAACATTCACTATACGAAAATCGTCTTCAACAAGAAAAGCAAAATTGGATTTGAGTCCACCAAAGTACGGTAATTCTGTGGATAACGTTTAATTCAATACGTAACGTATTATGGCGACCCACACAATATCAATGTTGTGCGTAAAATAAAGAATTTTGCTAACCACCGGCCACATCTTACGCCCGCTCAAGTTTCTAGTATTTCTTTTTTTTTATCTTCAAGACATCAAGGAGACATTTTGAAGATGCGAAAGGTCTATGCAAATTGTCGACCATTTCTAGGATTAGACCCTCGATGTGAACATGCGCGTAACTGCCCATGACAGTTTGGAAAATGACTGGACATTTGTTGTATGAGCTGTTCCGTGTCCACATTTAAAGTCTTTGATGTTTTTGAAGCCAGGAAAGGTACATACACTATTCATCATTCCAGCACTCGCTTTGTATAATTGTACCGTTTTCAACACCTGACGCATAAATGGCCATTAACGTAAAGAAAATGTGGAGAAGCAATGGAAGATGGGCAGAAATCAGTCACTAGAACTAAAAGAGAGCCAGGGTTTATTTTGAAGGTGTATCTACGCAAAATGCTTTCAAAAGTATTTTGACCCTGCAATTACACAAAGAGACTACTTGAATGGGGGCAAATGTAGGAAGACGGGCTGAGTACTACAAAGTGCTCCCATGCCAATAGAAACCGGTAAGGAATTACTTATAAGTTAGGGCTGTATTAGAAGGGTTGCTTTTTTGAATACTGCATAAATAAGTGCTGAAGTAAAGCATCGATTCTGAATATTTTTAGTGCAAAATGTGTGTAAATAAGTCAACCAGAGTAATCGAGAAGCTACCATTTTTGGGCAGTTGCTTTTTGCGTCATTTCGTGAGTGCGAAAAAGCCTGTCTAGAGGAATTACCATTTTGAAAGTATTTCGAGAACAAGAAGAACTTCTTACGTATTTTCTAGATACTAACTAGAATTCTCATACTCGTTTTTAGAAGCAATTAACACTTTTCCTAGCAATCTGGTTATGCATTGCGATGCAGTCGTACCAGATCGACTCTCGCAAAGTCACAATTGTATGAAAAAAAGAATAATCTTCGCGAAAACTAGGAAGAGGATGAAAGCCTCCCGATTGAGCGACCTCGGCTCCAAAAAACCCGAGTGAGGACTACCTCTTCTCAAGGACGAGCTACTCAAGCAACGATTAGGAAGTTCGGGTTTCGTTCAATGTCATACCAATTGAGCAGGTACGGAAATAGTACAAATTTCCCAGCAAATTCCACAAAACGGGAGTTGGTTTGTAGGATGAAAAATAACAAAATTGTTCGAATTTTTATTCTAGATTATTTTCGTGCACAATAATTCTCTATTTCGATAGAGTTCCAATCGTTCTCATTCCAGGCAAGAGCAACTTGGCAAAGCTGAAATTCAAATTTTCAATCCTTCAGATAGAAATCTCAAAAGTCCTAAGTTACTTACAACTTGAGGTGAGCGTGGCAGTGGCTTACAGCTTCGTAGAGACGAGACAGGCACTTTCTGCAATTTTGCATAAATTACCAGCCAAAAACTTCAGAATTGTGCTAGAACTCACCTTGACATCACATGAACTTTTCACTAAGACCATATGAAAACTATAGGTTGAGTAAAGCTTTCCCCCATTGGGAACACTGACTTTTGTAGCCTAAATTATTCCTTTCAATGTATAATATAGTCAGCAATGAAAACTGACTTGGTAGCTTTCACCATTTGGAACCCACCATACAGTATCTTGAATTTGTCCATTTGAACTTAGCAAGGCACTCCTATAGATTAGATTCTGTAAATCAGAAATTGAGTAATTGACTACATTCGAGTATATATTTTAATCAATCGTTTGCTTGAAACGCTTCTGAAAAGCCAAATCCGAAATCAAAACTGATTGTCCTGTGAGAAACATATTCTAGTGAGGTTGAAGTTTCGGAATAAATCTAAAACTAAACAAAAAATCAAACAATTTGAAGAATTAATCTTAGTTGTCAAGATGCTTAATTTGGCATGTAATAGTGATCATGGTTATGTGCTAAGCATTTTTTAGTTATTTGGCCTGTTTAGAGTCGACCGTGCCAAGGCCGTTCCAACGCCGTGTTCGCGCTGTGCCGAAAGGTAGATCGATCAATACGAGGGGCGTCCACATAGTTTCTGGAAAGGAGCTAGCGTGGAGCTGAAACGGCGCTGACACGGCGTCGACGTACGGGGTTCTGGAAGCTGTCTTCAAAGACTTAGAGAATATGTGGGAAAATTCAACGTTTTATTTTCAGCTTTTCATGCTGATTTCGCGACTGCATTACTTATTCAAGAAGGCAGTTGGTGCAAACTTTTGTCACCGCTATGTCTTCTTTTGCAGATACTCCTTATCATTGACTATGGGGACAATTGCAAAATTGCTAACTTGGCCAAACGTCAGACAGAAAATGACAGATTTTTTGACTATGTACTCGTCTTGACATTGACAGGAACAACAGACATACTTTTTTTCTTCCAGAAAAAAATATTCTCAACGGCATACTGCACCACGCTTAACACTGAACCCAATTTTCAGTAACAAATCTTCTGACACATTTCTATGACATGAGTATTATTACTTTTGAAAATACTGTTTACGATTACAATCATAAAATAGCAGCGTTTATGAAAACTGTTATGTTGTCGCAAAGATTATGTCGTTTCAAGGTGTGACTTGTCGTGAATTCAGTGAAATTATTCTTTAGGATGTGTTCAGACCTGCCAGCGGGGCCATTCAGCGCAGTGCTGGCGCTGCGCTAAGACGTTGATCGATCAATATGGCGCGTATGCATTTGTGGCACGACGCTGGCACGGACTTAGCACAGCATTGGCACCCGAGCAGTTCGGACGCTGCTAAGAACCACTGCATACGAACCCGGAGGAACTTGTTACAGAAACTGTTTGATTTCTCACTCTTCAAATTGTATCTGAATAGATATAATAGAAATTGTTTCTGCACAAGTAATTTCTAAGAGTGAAGACAAATAGGCAAATTGAACTATAATTACGCTGTACCTGTTAAGCGGAGAAATGTTGAGTGTTTACAAGACATTTTGATTTTTTTATCTGAAATTTTGATTTATTCATTGTCTCCTCTCTAAGTGGAAGCTTTCATTAGAAGCCATGCGTTAAACGATTTAAAGTGATAGAACAATCACTTCTCAGCGCATCAATAAATCAAACATGATTGGTATTTCCGGCAGCAGATCGCTGTTTGCGTGTCAATCAAAAACAGGAACAAACAGAAATTTTTTGGTGTTGAGGGGGTGTTGGAGGAGAGAAAAATAGCAAACATCTGCTAGTGCAAACGAGAGTATTATTTTCTTTGGTTATTCAAGCAAACTAGTGACGCAAGCAAGTAATGCGAAAGCAAAATTGCTGGCTCGGGTTGCATGTCTCAAAGAGCCAAGCCTGTTACAGTCATTCATTTTCTTTTTGGGAAGAATTATTAGGTTGTCTCATAATTAATACACGTTTTTCTAACCTCTTTTTGAAAAAGCTGATATACAAAGAAGAACCATTTTTCTCCAAAACCCTTTGCAGTGCCCGAAAGCACGATTCTTCTAGTTTCTATATGTGCTTTCGTTTTCATGAATCTTTGTTCAAACCGGATTTCCATGCATTCAAAAACATGTGACTAAAACACAAAATTCTTTCCTTTCACTCTCTGAGCTCTACATAAATTCATGAAAAGTAGACGAATTTAGTTCAAAAATTATGCATACGATTTCGAAGATTTGTCCTACAAAGCTTGTCAATATCAAATTTTTGAGAAATGCTGAGCTTAGAAATCTTGTCTCAAGATTGGCTGGTCGCTGAGCCCCATCTATGTTGCATAAAAATCTTAGACAAGAAGCGACTGTACAAAATTCGGTAGTTTCACCTAGAGCGGATCTAGAGCTAATGCTAGAAAACGGCAGCATTTTGTCGTCCTTCCAAGGAGAAAAAATAAGAAAAATCCCAAAAAGGTGGTTTTTTTGGAGTTTCTAGAGTGCTGAAAAAAATGACTGCATTTGGTTTTTTTGCAAATCTTCTCATAAAAAAATGTCGTAACTCCAAACTTCACTTCGTTGTACAAGCTACCGTCGGCTATATAATGAGCAAAGTTTGCGCGATCCTAGGGCATTCAAGAGCGAGTTAAGCTCTTTAAAAGTGTAAGCTTCTAAAAAAATGTTTGAAAATTTATCGATCTAAGAAATTTTTTCAGACAATGACTACAACCTAACAAAAGCATGCGTTATACAGTAAAAGGTTAGACTGTTTGCAGTGGTTTATGCTCAAAAAAACTCAGATGTTTTGGTGTAGCGCCAATGAGTACAGTAGACTAGCAATTAGTAAAACTTCAAATATCGCTGTGCAAGCGCGGTAAGCTGAACAAAACCAGACCATTAGATTTTCTTTTCCATCTACGCGATATTCTCTCAAATAGCTGCCCAGGTTGTGAACAAAATTGCTTATATTTGAAATTCCCATCAAAAAGCTTAAATTTTTCAGCTTTTTCAGGAGGAAACGAACGTTTTTTTAGTCAGTTCCAGAGATTTTTTTGAAGGGAGAATTTTTGGAATGAAAGAGCGTGGCAAGGCGCTCTTTTGAAAAATTTCTAAGACGTTTCTCAAAGTTTAGCCTTTGCAGTAGGTGCTTGCTGTAAATAGAATCAAGACGAAATATTGGGTTGTTTCAAAAGTTCTACCCGTTTTCGAACTTTGATTTTGATTCACCGTAGCTCTTCTCAGAAATAATCTTTGCAGTTGCTATAAACTGTATTACAATCTGCATTTCTTTGGCTATTCTGCGCACTCTTTAAGATTACTGCAGTAACAGTGGAGAAGATTTTATAGTCGAAAATCGAGGAACATCTCCTTGTAGAAACCTTCACTTTGCAAAAGCATAACTTGATTTGGAATATAGCTGAGTTGCACAAGCACTGCTCACAGTGTAGCCCATAGTCGACTGAGCAGTACCGCTAACTTTGGATTTCATCAAACTTTTTCTTAAAAATTTTGTACTGAAAAATCCGAAAGAACCCACTTATTTTGCTCTTTTTGAGGGGGCAAAAAATGCAATTTTTTGACATTTTTGATTTTGTTCGCCAAACCAAGAAATCTTTTCGTTCTTCTAGTAGCAGTTGTTATAGCTCTAATCTTACTATAAAGAGTAAAAGTTCCGCGATTGCAATATGTTTATGATTTTTATGCGACTTGAAGGGACCATAAAGACATGTTATGTTTGAGCTGAAAATTTATAGGTTCAAAATTTTTTCTGAAATCATATCTCGATGAGCGTTTCGTAGCACAAGTCTCCAGCAAACATTATGTATGTTTAAAAAAAATTTTTTTCTTTTGGCTGTAGATTTCAAGGCGATAGAGCAAAGAGGAAAATTTTCACATTTGTTCCGCCGTCTTTTTAAAATACGCAACCACACGGCGAACAAAGATCTATGAAAACGAAAATATGCTTGAAAAACTAGAGGAAAAGAGCTTTTGAATGATGTAAGCATTGTTTATGAAAAATGGTTTCTTCCTTCAAAATCGGCAGTTCAAAAAAGGTATCGAAAACGGGTAGAACTTTTGAAACAACCCAATACATTATCATCAGACAATTTGGACAGAGAACACCCGAACAGATAATACACTATTTTCTTTCTACTGGAACAATAGTTGTTTTAGGGACTTTTGGGGATGCTGTTTTCTTTTATTGCAGAATCTGCAATGAGAAGAATGCATTGGAAAAGTAGACCTGTGCAAGATAACATATAGCAGTTACGAATGCCATTTGGACGACCTTGCCAACTAAAATTATTTTTGAGTTTACTGATGTTTACATAAAAAATCATCCTGTGCTAGAGGTTTAAACAAGGCCTGTGAATGGGCCAAGAGTTGTTCAAAAAAAATCACTTGATATGCTTCATAAGAGTTTCAGATAAAAAAAATTTGGTGAAAAAGATAAAGTAAATGAAGGTAGGAAAAATTTGGCTGCTGCATATGAATACCATTGTTGATCTTAGAGGATTATACTCTTGTATTCTAAACAAGTGGCATATTTGCTGAAACTCAATCTTTTTCTTGTGCTACTAGCGACTTATAATCAACAGGATTTGATTTTACCCCATCGAAGAATTCAAATCAGCAATGGAAGCTTAGTGTCCATAAAAAAGGTGACATGGCAAACGAAAGTGATTCTTGAATATGTCAAAAAGCATCAACTGAAAATTTTAGAAGGATAGTGAGCACTGCAGTTTTGGAGCTGGCTTTTTCATACTAGAGTAAGACGATGTATGCTTGTGTAAATTTTGCAGAAGTGAAATGAAGTTTTTCTTGCTTTCGATGTAATTGCACATCACAAATCAACTTTGAAAAGAGACGAGCGCGATATTGATCGCGAACAACATCAGACATCGCTTCAGTTGTGATTTTACTTCATTATAGGTTACACATAAGGTTAGAAGATCTATTCCTTGTACGTATCAGCTGCTACTAGCACCTTAACTGGCGAAACGAGAAAGGCTTATTTGAAAAAAAAATAGTGAGAGAAAACCGAATTTACCTGCAAAGCGGGATCGTTGTCCGGAACTTTGACTTTTTTCCCGATTGTTGACGATTCAACAATCAATAGAAATGTGAAAATGAATAGTGGTGTCATCGCATCAATCTGAATCAGAATTATCAGCCCAGAGCATGGCCAGGAAGAGAACGCAGACAGATTTTGTGTCGTGACGACGAACTTGCAGAAGGCGGTTCGGATCGACCGAAGATTACAATTGCAAGTTTGTGTATTGGTGTTTGCACACTGGTGGGGCATGGTCGCACGTTCGAGGAAAAAAGCGTGGAATAGAAACTGGCATTGACAGATTAGCACAGACTAACAATGCTTCTGCATGGTGTAGAAAGTGTGCTAGATCTTTGTCAGAAGATAAAAGAATTGAAATCATTGCTTGAGCGCTTTGATACTTCTCTGACCATGGGTAAGATTGTCATTGAAAGGAAGAGTAGCTGGCAAACAGCGTCTGGCGAGGAAAAAGTCGAACCCCTGAACGGTTTCCATCACTTACCCAAGAGTTAAATGGAGATAGTCACAGGTATAGCCCACGCAAAGATGGGTGGGGCGGGGGGGGGGGGGGGTGCAGATATGAATATAGGGTTGGGCTGCCAGTTATGTGATTGCCTGCTCTATTGCCAAAAAATTAGCTTTCAAGAAATTGTGCATTCCGTGGGCTTGTGCAAAGTAATTTCTTCCTATCAACGTGAGCGGTGTGGGTATGCTAACCCACTAAGCTTCGTACCGACAAGCGACGAAAATCTTATGATAAAAGTCAATTTTTCTATATTTTTTTGTACCCTGCTCAGTGTCGAGGTTCCATGATTAGATGTAAATAGCAATGATGGATACAGTAATTGGGGCGATATTTTCGCTAAAGAAGTCGTCTGCTTTTACTCATTTAAAGCTCTTATCACCAAAATCACACCACTCTCCAGTTTGACGCTGCCTCCAAACTTCTTAGCATCATTTTGAGTAAAATCTAAATCAGCTGATTTCAGTTTGCATTGCAGTGCAGCTAATTTCCTCCTTGCTACTAGCTTTGGATTTGAAAAACATAGGCTGTCTACCTTGGAGGAACTGTGAACATAACAGAATTTTCTCGAAGCCTCGGGCAGAGTTCACGCAATTTGATCGTCGCGATTCATTGCTACAAAACAAATGTTACGAGTTCATTACATGCCGATCTTCTTGTAATTCGGTTATGATAGTTAGTCCACGATTAGTCGTGTTGGAAAACTATCACAACCGAAATGCAAGAAAATCGGCGTGCAATGATATTGTTACAGTTGTCTTGTCGCGATGAATCGCGAAGCTGAAATTGCGTGAACTCTGCCCGAGGCCTTAGAAAATTTAATGGAAGCGTGACAAGAGAGTCTTCGGTCTAAGAGTTATATTAAAATGACTCGATCAAAGACAAGCTTAGAGTTCTACTTCCAAGAAAGCGCAGCTGATTTTTTCACGGTTAACCTCTTGCTATGCGAAACAGACGCAGTCGAGGAGTTCATAGCCGTAAAGTAGGAAACAAAGAAATCCGTTCGTTTTCTAGAATGATCATAGAAATTGTGAAGGTGGGGTCACATGTCGGCCCATGAATTGAAATCTTGAAGGAGTTTGCAGCGCTGTTTGCATTAGTCAACACAACATGCAAAACATCAGAAACGAATTCCACAGCCTCACAGGCCTGCAAACAGTTATGCACATTCTTGGAATGTAAAATAGCCGATAGGGGGTTCCTAAACTTTCAGAGCTTTTTTAAATGGAAATGTAAAAAGTTTGCTTCAAAGAAGAAAGATCAAAGACGAGACATACTTATGTTTTGGGAAGATTGAGTACTTTACACCAATGATTTAGAATGTGAAACTGCTCAAAGAAAATAACGTTCAGGTGCACTTAAAGAAAAACCTATGCAAATTTCGAAAACTAACCAAGTGCAATGAATTCTTACAGCACCAGCGAGTCTCGATGAAGACACAAACTGATAAGGAGTTGACAAAATGTGAAAAGAATAGCGATTTAAGCAGTCCTGATCAAACTATTCAGACAGTGTAAATCAATATGGTTGAAAAAAGGAAACAGCATTGCATCGATGTCGCATTCGAACTGCCACTGTTCACCTCAATTACGTCATATAACCACCCTCCCCCCCCCCCCCACCCCACTTTCTCCATCAACTGAACTGCCTTTGCAGCTTTGCAAATGTGGATTTTTGATTGGAGGTTGCTTACAGGTCACTGACTAACCTAAAGTTTCAGAAAATCAGTGGGTATAGTAAAGCATTTTGAGGGGCACCTGACCAATGGCATGCAGATAATTAGTATCTATGGTATTTTGAACCTAGCGGACTAGGGCAGATGTCCCCTGAGAAATAAAATTTTGCTATGTAAATAGAATTCTGATTAGAATGCTCACACAAGGCTCAATAAATAGTGGTAATTCTCAAAAAGTTGAAAATTGATATTTTTATAGTTGCTAGCACCTACCACAGCAAAATCAACTCTTGATGTCCTGTTTTGAAGGGCTCGCTCAAAAAACAAGCTCTTAAATATTCTTTACTATGATAGCTGTTGCAAATTAAGGCCTGCTATAAAGAGTAATTTCGATAAAGCTTTTGAAGAAGTGATTTAATTTTCTAGCTGAGCTTCTATCAAAAATAAGCAGTTCCTAATGGACTTTGCCTCACGACAACCAAAAATTCATAGTTCTGGAGAATCAGTCGAAACTTCATAAAGATTGGTGGCTTTGGGTGTCCTAATGTACCTGATTAGAAGTGCCATGGAACTTTTGAAGCTTCTACCCTAATCCTGTATCAAAGACAGAGCCTACGTGATACCCTGGGACTGTTTGAATTTATCAAGGCAGAGGAGTATTACTGTAGAACTGCGAATGTTTATAAAAACACTTGTTCAACAGAATTTGTGATTTCTCTTTGATTAGAAAACGGGATAAAGCTACGACTAGGGACTCAGCCAAATACCGGGAAGTTCCGAAGAACATTGAGGAAGGCCCGGCGGTTCACCTGGGAAAGCCCATTGCAAGTTCTTGGGAACTTCTGCTCTGAAGTTCGTGGGAACTTTGCATTCTGTGTAGTTTACGGAAACTTCTTCACTTTGATGAAGTTCTCAACGCTTTCTTCGGAACCTCCCCGCGACTCCCTTGACATCATAAATCACGAGAATTTCCCATATTTTAATTTCGTATTCCTCAATGGTTAACAAAGTTCTCCGGAACTTCAACAATTTTGCCATGGCCGAAACTTCCTGGCGTTTGTCCGAGGGAATGATTGCTTTCATACCATATAAAGCTGAATTCGAGTTTTTTTCATACCCGTTTTCATAACAGTTGAGCGAAAGTGCCAGCAAAATCAGCATTCCTCCTCCACAATTTTGCAGCAAACATCATGTCTCTAGAGTAAACATTCTTCTTCTGTGAGCAGGGGATAAAGGCATAAAGAAATGCCATAACAACTGCGAAGTAAAAAGAAAGGAGGTACATGTACCTTGTTCTAATCTGTATGTTACATGTTTGTTCCTTTTTTATTTGCAAAAATATAATACCTTCAAGTTCCGTTTCCTTGGTTCACACTCTCCTCCACCGTACCTCTCCTCCCTCTCTCTTCCCCGCCTTACGTTGGTCCCAATAACAAATAAACAAAATGAGAAAGTATCAAGACTAAACGATATCCAATGCCGTTTAATTCCGTCTACTAAAAGAAAAAAGATAAGGGATCAGATAAGATAAGAATAAGATCAAAAAAATTATGCCCTATTGTCTTTTCCGATTACATAAAAAATCTTCACGCTCTGCAGTTAATTTGATTTTTAAAAAAAGAAACTGATTGGTATGGATACTAGACAGATACAGAAGTACGTGGTGTCTCTCCATTTGGTAGATTTTGAATCCTTTCACAAAAGAGCAATCAGAGAACTCACGAAAACTTACTCATATGACCTTGTGCATTATTACTCATCATTGTCCTCGTTGATTGGGAGATTACCAAAAAGGTTGATTCATAATGTTCGGTATGATAGGTTTATGAGGGTAATGGTATCAAAAAATTGTAAAGAGTATAATTTCTCGTAAGGGGGAGGGCATGTCTGATCGATACATACATCGGATCAAAGACTTTTTTATTGGACGAGAATAGAAGAATGAGTGAGTGACATTGTAGCAGACCAGTCTGAGGGCATTGAGGGATCGGAAGAACAGGTCTTCGTGGCCTCGGGACCGCGCAAAGGCCAGGAGTCTTGGAAAAAATACAATTTTGTCAGTCACCTTGACTATATGGAGACACTGCTTTTTTGCGCTCTTATTGACTTGAACGTTACAATTTATAGATGGTGTCATTATCTGAACACAATAAGAAAACGGTCGATTTCGAGATTTTTGGTTTGCTATGTATTGTACATAACTTTTCGATGTATTTAATGACTTATACCAGCAAATCTCATTGAATACCGGCCATACAGCGACTTAAGAGCTAAAAAGCCTAGGACCGTGGCTGCTTACCGTGACGTCACCAGTATTGTGAAAAATTTGAGTTTCCTTCAAAAAAATTGTGGATTTAGATAGATTGTAGGACGCTGATTCCGAATATGTGTTTCACTCTGCTCAAAAATGATTTTGAAGGGATTTACGAGGTTGCGGCGCTTTGAACGCGACATCGCGTTTATTTCGGAAATTTTGAAGGCGGCACCGATGGTATTGTAACTCGTACTCCTGCTTTAAAATCATAATCTTGATCATAATTCAATTTGTGACGAAGTTCTGAGGATCTAATAACATGCCAGAATTCTGCAGCTTTTCTGGTAGAGAAAGCGGTATTCTGCGTATTCATCAATAATATCCCAAAAATATAGTTACTGTTTTCGGAATTTGGTGTTATCGTCTCGTATTCACTACTCCCATCTCGTAAATTGCGGATGTGGTCCTTGGTTTCTCGTGTCTGGAGATAATGGATAAAAAGAACTTATTCTTTATACTAATCCAAGTGCAAGAAAGCTCTAGTGATTTGAATACTATTCTCAGTCATGAAGTACGATAATTACATGATAAATTATTAGGTTGATGCAAAAATAATGGCCGATTTCCCAAACCTTTTCTCAGGCCAAGTATTTTCCATCAAAATTTCTTGGAATGAATATAGCATACAACTGGTAAGCTTTTTTCATGCTCTACATAATGGTGGTTGAAGTGAGCTTCCACCCTCATCTGTTAAATAGTTAGCGAGCTTCAAATAACCGCATCCAAATTCAGAAGTATATTGAATTCACTTTCTGGCTAGATTCAGAGCGCGTATGAATGGCACTTTTTCGAAATTTTAGCTATTGTATGCATAGACATTGTCTACATCGTGCATAGTTAACTATATTTTTTGAAGTTATGCTGACTGAAATATCGGTTTCTCAACATGCATAGCCGTTGCTGTCATTTTATGATCCATGAATTGCCTTTGAAGAAGTCATTCGCCAATCCTTTACTCTATTCTGTAAGCATAATGCTAGTGCATCCTATTAGCAGTTTTTTGCAAAAACATCCCGCTGTTTAGTACGTAGAAAATTAGAAAATTCTATGTTTGGGATTTCGAGGCATACTGAAAAATGTCGAAAATTTTTGAACGTTATTTTTTCCTTTCCGCAAATTTTTTTCTCTAAACCCTTTCCATAGTATTTTTTACTACTGGCCTGCGGCTGCGAGATAGGCCAGATAGGCCACTTATCATTCAAACTAACTAACTTCGAGGGAAGTTATGAATTGTCACCTTTTTTATCTTTTAATCCATATTTTTCTAACCGTTTGTGATATGACTGCATGCAAATGTGCGCTCTATTGCAAAATGTTTGCTGCTTCTGATGGTCTTTACCGCATTTAAAAATGTGATTTTTCAAAAGGTTGTAACACGTCAAAGTCATTATTTTTGCATCAAGCAATCTATTGATAGATGGAAAGTGAAATAGAATGTGAAAGGATACCAAAGGAATTCAGGTATCTCCAATGCCAAAGCAGTCTGATCCTGAAAGCCTTATTTAGGATTGGAACCAAGAGTCACCTTTTTCTATTGTATGGCCTCGCACGCACACGTTTGTTATAATTAAGAGCAAAAAGTTACAATCCGCTTATGAAAATCGCCGTCCCGTGTGCTCTCTGATCGAAGTCCAAACCACAATTTGCAAAAAGCATTATTATTAGAGAATAATCGCTGTTTATGTTCTCATTCAAGTGACATGTTTTATCGTTTTAAGAAGTGTTCAATGGTCTTCACAAAACTTAAAGCAAGGGCAACATGAACCTAAACTTCTTTGAAAATGGGCAGTCAAAAGAATTCTAACATCTGCTTTTGATAACTAGAGCAGATTTTTTAGAAGGATCGACGCACAAAACTCTTTCCTTACCTTTCATAGTACTATGGTTCCACAGAATAGCAAAGAAGCCCTGGTTAATGTTTACTCTAGAAGGCACACACAATAAACATTTAGATTCTACAAATTTATATAAAACCATCAGAGTCACGATTCAGAAAGCATCAAGGTAAACTTCAAAATGAAAAACAGATATTTGTTTCCAAAAATGCTCCATTAGCTGGTTACTGTGCTTAGACTTTGCGCCTACTTTCCGTAGAGCAAAGTTTCCTTTCATAACCAAAATTTCGATGCTTTGCCCTGTTGAAAACAACGTAAAAAATCTCAATGCGTTCGATAAATTACTCCATTCGAAATTGCACGACTCTTCATGCTTTTTACGCAGCTTCTTATAGCTCAGCTGATGTGTACTTATATTAATAAGCAGTCACAAATGTCTTATCTAGCTGAAGATTCGCCATATAGTTAGCTCCATGAATCATACCACATTAAATGAAGAGAAAAAGCAAAAAGAAGCTTCTAAATATCTTTCCAGTGATAATGGTAAAGTGATATGAGCTATGATTTACAAGAACGAAAAGGGGAGAACATTTTTGCCGATCAGGGACCCATAGTCAAGTTCAGCGCTTGCATCAAGCACCCCTCAGTCCTCTCACCTTTCATATACGGAGAAATTTTCCGAGCCCACTGAATCGGTTTCTATTTATCGACTTGAGATTGAATACAATGAGCATATTTCAGCATGGTCATACAGTCGCAATTACACCATATTCTTGCTCATCAGGCAATGAAAAGCTTTGGGAGAGAGCATGATTTATAGGTCGGATGTCAATAAAAAGATGAGATGAGTAGAGTTAAACAAAGAATAAGTGGACATCAATACATTTTTTGGACGTTGAAGAGGCATCAGCCTAACAATGTTTTTTGAGGACCGTTATCGCGCAAAATTCGCTAGATTGGGTCGAATCATGAGTTCACAGTATGAACTCGAGTCGACATTCAGCGAGTCAGCTTTGGACTATGAGCTGTAACTATAGACATAAACCCATGTTCACTTTATTCCAGATATTGCCTAGTATCATCTCCTAAGAGAACGATCCCACCTTGAGGTGGCGAAAACCGCATATAACTGGATGGTGTACTGATTTCGAATGCCGACATTCAAAGGAAACACAAATAAGTGTTTTTGAACAATAAAAAACAACTAAAATTTTTTGGTAAAAGTTATGAGCAATGGAAAGTCCAAATTCGGCAAATATACAGCGCCATACCTCGAGAATTAGTTGATCAAAAACACTTCTTTGTGTTTCTGTCGAATGTGAACATTCCTTGAGATCAGCACAACGCAATGCCATGCTAGTCATGCAATTTCAGTTGAATTTCAAAGCACATTATACAGGGTGTCTAAATGTATCGAACGTTTGATCTTTTTCCTCGGATTTTTGAGTGTCATACGGTAGAGCTGGTTTCAAGTTTTATAGTATAAAACTAACCACCGATTTCTTAGTTACTGTAGGATTATGGTGGGAATTTTCGACTAATTACAAGCTCCTGAGAGACGAAAGCTTCTTCTAAAAAAATCCAAAGACTCGAATGTTAAACTTAAGTTTCATCAACGTTGCAGTTACAAACACAGCAACAAAAGCCAAAAATTTAGTGTTACAGTGCGCCTACCATAGGAAGATGAAGAGTACGGTAGCGGAAAACTTTGTGATTAGATTCAGCATCCCCGAGAATCTCAGTTTAACGTCCTTCGGCTTTTTTGAACATTTTTAGAAGCAGTTCTCGCCTGTCAGAAGCTTAAAATTAGTCGAAAATTCCCACCGTAATCCTACAGTAGCTAAGAGAAATCGACGATTCGCTCTATACTGTAAATCTAAGCTGAACCTAGCTCTACCGTATCACACTCAAAGACCCGCGAAAGCTTTCCATATAAGGAAGAAATTATTAAAGATCAAACGTTCGACACATTTTTTTGGGACACCTTGTATATTGAAACCTCAACTACTTCACACATTTAACCGCTCGCAAATTTTTCTAGAGAACGGCATCGCAGATATAGATGGATTGGGAATCAGCTCATCAAAACGCATCTAGTGGTATGCGGCTAATTCTTGTTTGCGACCTTAAGTTGGGGTCGTTCCCTTGTCAGAAGAGCACCAAGAGCCATTACGGTAATTTAGACTCGAAGGAGTTACCAATTTCTTCAACAAAGCCGTTGTAGTATGCGCTCCTTGGGTCCCACTATGATCACGTATGAAAATTCACCCGCCTCTTAGGAGAACCTTAGAAGATGAATGATGGATGACATGGGCGCTCTGCTTTCAACGCATCTGCTGGTCAAGAGTTTATTAATATCAAAAATTGGTTCCTAGAGTTCCCTTTAGGCAAAAATGTTTACTAGTATCAAATTGATTCCTCAGAGTTTCTCTAAGCAAAAATGAAGTCTCATAATTACATCATCTACCGAGTCACGAGCCAAAGCAACACTATTAGGCTAAAGACGGAGTCGTAGAGACAAATTGAAAAGAGATACATATCACCAGAAGCACCTTCAAACGCTGATTACGAATCTGCTTACTATATCTGCGAAACAGTTCTCTGAAAGAATCATAAGCCTACTTACAAGCCCAAACTGTGGAATACTCGATGGCATAAGAGGGGAAAGTGATTCAAGGGCACTTATTCAGCATTTCAATGAGTATACTCCTTTGTTTTTGAAATGCCCAATATCACCTTAATTGTGCCCTTTCACGCCTACTTCTGATGTGAACAATCGGAACTCCAGCCATTCCAAATTCTAAGAAACAATTTTTAAAAGCCGCGTCGCGTCTCTGAACTCAGCGTTCGAAGGCGCTTCCTGGTGCTGTCAACTCTGAACAACTTAGCGCAACTTGGATCTCCTCCTTGTGAGATCAGAATATACGCAAAATTTGTGCAAAGCTTCTTTACAATTAGATGGGTGGTGTTAACTCCTACCTACAAGACTGGGATGCTGTCTCACAATTAGTTACATCAATCACATGCAAGAGACTACAGTACTTTCGATGTAGCTTCTAGTTACCTACTTAAATAGTCCCATCAACTAACTCTAAGGCGCCTAATGATCTAAGGCCCCGGACAGACTTCACGCGATTTGATCGTCGCGACTCAATCGCCGACATTTCCATTCATTTTCATTTCACATTCAAAAATGGGCTGGAAAAGTATCACATCCGAAATGCAAGTTGATCGGCATGGAATGATGTTGTAACAGTTGTCTCGTCGCGATTCAGTCGCGACGATCAAATCGCGTGAAGTCTGTCCGGGGCCTAACTCACCTAGGTGCAAGTCGTGGAAGTACAAGAGCGCAGAATGTGGGCAAAACACGAATGCCCCTTTTATCACACGAAAAGAAACACCTGCTCATGATGCAAATGCAAAGTCAACAAATCTGTCGACGTTGCACTGTCAGAACAATATAGATAGAATACATTATGGTAATGACACATGACAAAAAACGCCGGCACAATCGCCTTTTCTGTCTATTCAGTTTGTTCGATTAATGACCTAAACGCCACATTTGATTCGTCTTCCATTTCTTCCAGAAAACTTCAAATGGAGAAGGGGCGGGGAACCATCCTTGATCAGGTTAATGATTTTATTTTGCTTTGAATATCCGATGAGATCTTCTGGTGCAGAAATAACATTTGCACTGATCATGTTTATATACAGTCAAAGCAAGTAAATGGAAAAAGAACATGTGAGATTCAGATCAAAAGTCTTATGCGTTCGAGACTCGTTATTATCGAGATTTGCGAAAAAAATAAATGTACAAGCTTTGTAAAATGGGCAAAATCAACTACGAACCAGATCGTTTAAGTTGGAAACTGTGAAATTTACAAACAAAACTCAGAAGCAAATCGATCAATTATACATGCATTTTATCAGTCTGTGGCCGGCTTCAAGAACGTCGTCATAGCATTAGACTCATAGGCGCCATCCATCAATCCTTCGTTTTCGTCAACCAGTTCTGCAAAACCAAACGAAAATTATTTGTGCAGCCGCCAAATTGCTCTTCCTTTCATTTGCATTGAACATTGATGACCAAAATATGTTTGTTCACTCCATGTAAATGCGCTTTTATGTTTTACTTTGACAAAAATGTTGATTATGAAATTGACATCGTTAAAAGTTAAGTAAAAAGTTCGACCGTACTCGGTTGCAGATTTATTCCCAAACAATTTGTTCAGCTAGTGACAAATATACTTCTGCCTCTTTCGAACGCAGATAAGATCGCATCTGTCTTTGCGCTTTTCAAAATTCTCGCACATGACGGTATGAAATACATATTTTACCTACTTTTATGAATCTTCTATTTCTGAGCCGCAAAGAATATTCTACTCACATTCGGCACATTCTTGGAATTGTTCAACTATACCTATCCTGGCGTACATAAACCATCAAGTAAGTGCAGAACTAGGTAAGAATGGTAGCTCAGTGATGTCATTCCACATGTCGAACTTTTATGCAAAGCAAAGCAAAAGTCTCAAGAACTTTTTTGGATATTCCGTAGCTTCTCCTGGTAATTTCCTTCAAGAGTTCTTTAATAAAAAAACGTCTTTTTATGTAGAAAGATGAGATTCACAAGCTCCATTCACATCTTCTGTTTGATTGTTGCAAGCTAATGCCCAGTTGGGGATGGGTTCCTTGCTTCCTATCAGTCAATTCATGCTTACGAACAATTTCACGTTCGTTAATAGTAAAATTCTTCCTCTTACTGCATTTTCCTCGCGGAATTTCCTGGTTTTCGCTGTTATCGCTATGTTTTTATTGCCAAACATTGAGTGGAAGACATTGCGTAACGATATTCTCAACTTACTAACTCCATAAACAACAATGTTTCTAACCAACCTGATGCTCCAGCGTAAACTTTATGTGATGGAGCGTACATGGCCAACAATAACAGAACATAGATGTTCCACATGCCGAATGTTCCCGTAAAGAACGCTGATGTACTGTGAGTAAGCAAGCTTTCATCAGGTTCATCAGAGTGCATTTGTGTTTCTCCATACTGAAAACAAGTGAAGTATAAACTGAGGTCATGATCACAAAAATCTCAAACTTTACCTGTTTCATAATATAAGAAGAAATTGTTAGAGCTGCACACACCAAAGTGAGCAACATGAGAAACTTGAATCGATAGATGATTGCCTCCACCTAAGAGTGAAGGTTGTTTTTTGATGAAGCAAGACAGACAGGAAATTCAAGTAACCAGACCTTTAATCTCCTATTTTGGCTATTTTGGTATAGTTGCGCTTCTCGCTTGCTTCTTATAGTTACCCATACTTTCCATATCTTGCCAAGAAGGAAAGCAAAGTAAACTACGGTGCACAACGATGCAATGTAGACGGAGACGTTCTGCAAAACTCAAAAATATGACTACAGTACAGCTACAGTATGTATGGACTAGTCAACGCGCACAGAGACTGCGCGCGATTGTGTTTGAACAAATTAGTTTGTGTTTGGAAGAGGCAAAAGACGGTCATAGAGGTGAGGGAGTGCTTGGTGGGGGAGAGACGCCGACAACATCCGCAGTGGCAACCTTTCTCTACGTTCGATAAGTCGTTTACACTCATAGTAAATTTTAGTTAAGGTAAAATAAAAAGTTTGAAATACTTACGGCTATCATGGTACCAGTCTCGCTGGACCAGATGCTATAGAAAGGATTGTTTAGCTGGAATCCTCGTTCACAAATGTCATATACTAATAGTAAGGATGAGGCAACAATGATGAAGAAGAGGTTAAAGCGATACGAAGCCTAAAAGCAAAAATCCTGAGATAACTGGGCCTTCAGTTTGTCAAAAGAGAAAACTTACAATATTGTTCCTTGTCGTGTCGTCTATGAGATGTTCCCCAGCGAATATTAGCCAGAAGGCGAATAAAACCCCATAGAAGGTCCCTTGCCGAATATCACTTAGGAGCAGCATGAAGGGAACTCGGCAAATTAGGGAAACCCATTCGAAGGGGACTGCAAAAAATTCATTACTAAGCACAGCTAGGGACGAATTGCTGAGAAATCTTACAATCAAGAATGGCCAGGCTGACACCGAGAGTCATGATAGCCTTTTCTAGTAACAACGGCTTCCTGGCAAGTTTTTCCACCTAAAAAGGGTTGGACTATGGATAGCGAAGCTTTATGTTAGGTTAAGGATAGCAAGTTTAAAAGGGATAGATTCCACTTACTCTATTCCAGTACCACCATGTTGTCGCCACGACAGCAGGGAAAAGCAAAGTCTTCAGCCATAACCATACAAGAGTAAAGCCACCGTTTTGGTGTATCGTCTAGAAGTAGTTAGTGTAACGTAATAAGCAAATGCAAAGGATTTACATAAAATATTGGCAGCATCTTTTCAAAATTAGTAAAAAAAAATCCCAAAGCTAGAAATCAGCAGATCTGTGGCAAATTCCAAAGTTTTCTCAAGCAAAACAAATTTGTTCAGATTTTCGTGAATTTTCCCAATAAGATCAAGGTTCTTGCACTTTTCCTTCGGTTAAACATTTTTACTCAAAAGGGATAGATGCTGTGATACACTTTCTGAGTTTATAATGGAAATCCACCAAACATCGAAATTTTTTTTTTGTTTTGCCCAAAACTTTCGACAAAAGTGAACGATAACATACCACAACCCTCAGACTCGTGATTTTTCCAATTTGACAATTAGGACTGTTTCGATCGAATCTAAATGAGCTATTATTACACAGCAGGTTTTTTATTGACAAATAAATTAGGATCACCTGCACTCGGTTTGATTAATTGGAATCCTAATGTTGAGTAAGTAAAATGGATAGTTGTTAGAGCCCATTTCGAACAGGTCCAGCACCCCGCAATCGTACATGTTTCCATCTGATCTCTGAGTTTCGAAACCTATGATTCGTTGCTGGATGAGAAGAGAGATTCTATGTTACCTTGTTGGGTGGAATGGTGCATTCAAGTTTTCGGGTGATATTAGTAGCGATGAGCTCATGCCATTCATCGGCAGCATCTTTCAAGGTTCGATAACCAAGACGAACTTCGAGTCTGAGCGTAGCTCCGTCGACTAGAGTTAAATTTTAACACTGTATCTTATCTTATCTGTACACCTTTTTTTTCATATACTATACCCCAGAAATAACGAGATTTCGGAAAGGCTTATCCACACTCAGACTATAAAAATACGAATAGAAAAAAGCTGTACGGTAGTTATTTACTGTAACCATTTATAGCAATACAGAGTGTCCCAAAATGTCAACACTGTTTGATCGCTAATAACTCCTTTGCTTTCATATCTTTCGCCGAGCTTGAGGCACCATTCTGTAGAGCGAGGTTCAACTTAAAACTTGTTAGATCCACAGTATGGAGCGAATCATCGATCGCTTTTCAGTACTGTAGGATTACGGTAAGAACTTCCAGCATGTGGAACCATTGTGAAATATGCCATCTGGCAGATTCTTTTTAAATCTGAAAAATTGTGTACTAGGGTTCTCGCGCCGATTCCTCTCACAACTTTTCACGAGTGTTTTCAGCTTTTTTGACGGTATAACCATTTTTGACAAATGCTGGGAATCCACTTATTACGTTTTACCTGGGATAACTTTGGAAATAAGCATCACAGTAAAGTGAAAATTTCATATTCAAAATTAGCGGCTTCCACTACCATAGTATAAGCGTTTTAGGGTTGTTTGGTTTTGTTCCGAGGCAGAATATGACCTCCAACGACCTAAAATCCTTGTCGAAATTCCCACCGTAATCTTACAGTAATGAAGAGAATCGATGATTCGCTCCATACGTGTATCTAAGCTGAACCTCGCACTACAGAATGGGTACCTCAAGCTCGGCGAAAGACATGAAAGGAAAGGAGTTATTAAGGATCAAGCAGTGTTCACATTTTTTGGGAATGTTCACTCTTTGCGTTTTGGCAGCAGAAGAAAAAAGTAAAAATAAATGGGAGTCAATAAACATGTCATACCGTACTTGAAGGCGTCACTGTACTCCACTTCCACTTGCAGTAGACCCAGTAAAAATTGGAACCACGGTGAGTATTCTAGCTGTACGCGGTCTCTGGAACGATTTTGTCCGAGAAGAGTAAAACATGAAAAATTGGCATGCCTTACCTCACATGAGGCATTTGTGCAACGAAGACAATCTCTCGTAGGTCGAATGATGTTGGAGTAAATGCCGACAAGTCTCCGATAATGTTGCATTGCTGAAAAAGATGTATTTTTATGTCTGAAACTACACTACAGTTTCCTGTACCTAACTCATTACCATACAAATTGTAAGTACATGGTTTGAATAATATTACCCAAATGAACAAGCATCGTTAACTGCGCGAAAGAGATTTGAGTCTGTTTGAGGTCTCACACTGTTAACATGCTTAAACCGCTGCTCATCTGTTTCAGATAACAAAAAAAATTAAGAGCGGGAGCTTGCATATGTACCTATGTAAACAAAACCCAGAACAACCATTGTTTACAAATCATGCGATTTACTGAAACCATAGAGCCACTCCTTTCTTGTCACGTGTTTTGCGGTACATGCCCTATGTTCTTTTTATCTTAAGAAAGACCTGCTCAAAAAACGGAGAAGCAGCCACCAGATGTATTCGCATGATTTCAAGCAAGAAAAAAAGGCAGTGCACCACAATAAAAGTTTGAAAATAATTGGTGACAGAATTTTTTTACAAAGCTTTCATTATAGAGAGATAATTGAACCACGAATTCGATAAGTTATTCTCATTCAGCTCAGTTTGGTTAATCTCATGAGCTTTTTAAGAATTCGCAAGATTTTAGCTCACAAAATTCACAGATTGTTCTTATCACCATTGGAAAGTATCGTAACAATTATAAAAAATTGACTAACCCTGGGTCGAATATGGAACCACTTGCCGGATTGGCCTTTGGAAGCGTCTTCACATTTGATCATCTCGTACTCCATTGAGGAAGATGGAACAGGTGCTGTAAATTCGTTATCATAGTTTTAACGTAAGCTCTTTTTCATCATAATTTTAACGTAAGCCCTTGTACATAGACTTATAATAGGAGCTCTCCTTTCAGTTCTTTTTGCACTCAGTTTTAAAAACATGGTATTACAAAAAATGGACTGTTTCTGAGAGAATAAATTACTCTCGACAGTGAGCTTTGCGTAATTGTGGTTGGTGTAGAACTAATGCACGTTTATAAGTTTTTCGGACAAATTTTGTATCAGATTTTTTTTCGAAACGGTTATCGCACATTACCTTAAATATATATTGATAAAGACTCCAATTTCGGATTTCAAAACACTTCTAGCCCTAGTTGCTAAGATTTTATGAAGTTCAAAACTCGAAAAACCGAAACTTTGTGCAGGTGCTTTCTTGCCCTACATTCAGTAAGGGAGTCTCCTTCCATATAATTAGCACTATAGCAGACAGTTCGAAATTCCGCAGCTCAAACTTTGATGAAGATGTTTGCCAAAGTTCCGAGCATCTTGTAAGCGTGTGGATACGGCATCTAACCAACACTCTCAACATTAGTATGTACAGTTTACAGAGAATTGAATGTTATAGTTCGACAAATCGGGACTTATTGAGTAAGAAAACCGAAACGAGAGACAATGATTTTTATATTTCCCTTGCGCAGATCTTCTTCATTCAGTATTCTTTCAAAATTTTTGTGCAACTGGTTTGAGGCTACACAATCAACTAACTGACAATTATCTTAACCATATCAACAAACTGCAGGGAATTATAACGTATCAAGAAAGGGGTAATGTTTGAAAAAAAATATTGTTTACAGACCCACTTGTGCTTATTTGATGGCTTTTGTTGTTTTCAGTTGCATTCAAAAGTATGAGTTTGAACAGAAGTTATGACCCAACAAAGTGAACAAAAGATGTACCAAATATGATACTACAAATCGAGTCCATTGCTCACTATCAAACACAATATCATTCATTTATCTACAAAAATCACAAATTAAGAATATAACTTACCATATAAAGCTCCAACTAGGAAAAATACTATCTGCGCGAGAAGAAGACTGCCTAATATGTAGCATAGCTTTCGATTGCTTAGGTTTTCAACAACGGTACCGCTCATTCCCCTGAAATATCGAAAAATGCAGAAACATGCGATAAGTATAAATTGCAAGCAAAGAGGAGAGGCAAGACGGCTGCACGAGCTATTAATTACAGGCATTAACCTATGCAAATAGATGACTCGCAGGAGGGGGCGAGGAGGAGGGTGGAGAGGCTCGCGAGCCAGATTAGAAAATCGAAAGGGCAAGAAAAAGGATCCCAAACGAAATGTAGCAGTTTGCCGAGAATAAAAAGGTTGGTGGGTGAGGGCAGATGTGGGAGTGTTCCGAGGTTTGATGGAGGAGATGGGGCGAACAGGCGGGTAATAAAACAGTCGAGGGCACCCGTCAAACGATTGCGGTCTCTCTTGCATATCGATCGAGCACTCACAATACATCTTTGGTATCGAATTCTGCCTAAGAAGAAGTGGGACTGGAAGAAACCGAATGTCAATTAATCTTCTGAATGGCGTTAGCCCAGCGCCAAGACTTCGCGCTTTGAATCTGAAATTTTTCAAAGCAAGAGTGGTGCCTAAATGACTCGAAAAATAATGTCAAAATTGCAATAAGCAATCTACTTTCCCATATGTCCCAAATTTTTCTTCCAGAAAAGTCGTTCTCCAAAACGTACAGCAGACTCTGGAAGAAAATGAGAATTATGAGTACAAGGGAATAAGCGCCACGATTGAAACCAACAATACTTCTCTTGCATTATGCCAAAATCTCCATCCTCCTACTCGAGCCTTCCCAAAACGAATGGAAAATTTGGAAAGAAGTGAAAAGGAACCCTTGCGCAAAGGGGTTTCAGTTTAGAACATAATTGTGACTTCCAAAGCAGCCGTCTGCCAAAGGGGGAGATCAACTAGCTCTCCAAATCCACATGAAATATCAATTCTGGTTCAATATAAAAGAGTTTCAAAACTTTCGATTACAGCATTTCAATATCCTCATGCAAAACTATATAGATTGTTTGCTTTTTTAAAGGCAAAAGTCAGATCAGAGAAGAAACTGAGAGCGACACAGTAAAAGATAATTGGGTTTGATCCCCAAAAACTCATCGATAACTATCAACTGTGCTATCATTGATTATAGTGATTGCTTTCTCTTCTGCCATGACTTTAGAAAATTTCTTCATTTTAACATATTTATTTTCAGATCATCCATTTCTACCTTTATATCCGTGCATTTACGTCTGACATCCTAGATCACATTTTATTTTTTTCTCTATTCATTCGGACCCTTCCACAGTGTAGTACCTTTTTATCCTCTAAAACCACATTCTCTCACTTTATTGACATTGAAAGAGTAAAATGAGGATTTCTATTAGATACTCATTTGTTACTGCGTTTGCAAGATGGTGTATTCTCTCTTTACAAGTATAGCATAAGAAACTAAATCTCATGGAGTCTAATGGAGAGTCTTGGGAAAACAAATAAATATTGTCAGCAAAACCAAAAAACCTTTAGACTTTTGGAAAACTTTTAGAAACCAAGAATTCCGCTGACAGATGGGCTAAACAGGTCAAAAAAAACTTTAATTGCTTTGCTAGTTAGATGTCAAAATATCTGGGCAAGTACAAGAATACCGCGGTCTTGAGATTCTAAAAAATTTTCGTAGGAATTGTTGAGGAATGTTCATAGCTTCTCAGAATTTTACATCAAATTGCTCTACATCCATTCCGACGACTTTCACTAGTGATTAAACAGATTTTAACACTTTTTAGAGAAGGGTTCAGTTCGGACCATATTCTTCCTATCATAAGAAAAAACATTTCACTACATGCTATGTTTCGTCCTGAAAAATTAAGATCCAATGTAGTCAAATTGAAAACTCGCATGCATTTTTTCAATTTCTGTTTTTTTTTTCGCGATCAAACTAGAAAACGCTTGACTGACCATGTTAAACATGTAAGTAACATGTCTTTTAACCTTTGACATGCAATAACGTGTTGGTAACATTGGATACCTATATAAGGCGGCTATAATATCCTGAAACATACGCCAGTTTGACGTAATCTGTCCATTATGCTTCCCGGTACAGTTTTCTTCATTTGCCATGATCTTATCTCTACTGTCAATAATTGCGCTTATCCTGGAATTTTTTTCAGCTTATTATTGTCATCGCAATCGTATGAATCAACTTCAAGCATACGCATGTATTCCACTGCAGCAGGCCTATTTCAGGTTTTGGTAATTTTATTTCAGGAAATGTCTTTTCATTCCTGATATAATTTCACTGTAAAATACAACTTATTTCAGTCCTGCTGTGCCTCATCCCGTCCACCCGGCTATGTACACTTTTCCGACGATGGTGCAGCCTATAAGGGTCCCAATGCCGGTAGGTTTAAAACTTCTATTAATTGCTAACACCTGGACATGATTTTCTCAATGGAATCACTGAAGAACGGATGTTATGCATGCTTCGAGGCACATCTGCATCTCATCTGTTGGCTGTTGTGATTTTTGCTCAAGAAGACACAAAATTTATGTCATCGAGATTTGAAAAAAATATTTGGGGTTGGCGTTCTCAAAATTGACAATAATTGACTTGGTCATTTATCTTAAGCGCTTCTAACCAAATTTTATAACTTATTTTTTGCTGCATATCGCATTCAGCAATATTTCTCTGCAGTGTGATTTTGGATGTTATGGCTAACGAAGGTTTGTAAACAGTGAAGTACTGGAAGCTTTGCTTAGAAAGGGACAAAATACGAATGCTCACCTCGTTTGACCTAGTCAGATGCTTTAGGCATTTTCGAACTAATTCAATCTTCTTTGAAAGGAATGGTCCCCAAAAAATTGTTATTGTTCTGAACCTAAAAGTGTAGCGAACATCCTGTGAATGATTGCTTTTTGGTTCTTCTCATCTCAGAAGCAATCATATTTCAAAAGTGAGTTAATTTGCGATATTTTTTCAGAATTCGTTTGAAATTAGGCTACCCTTTTCTAATGGTGATTTGAAGGATCAAATAGTCTCCGCTACTAAAACCATTCCGAATTGCTCCGATCAGTTGAACATGTCGTAAACCGAATAATTTTATGAGCACTTAACACGGCCTCTCCCAATAACAAAGTATTCGTGACATCAAGAGGAAAGACTATTACACACATTCCTTCACGTAAGAATAATTTGACCAAGTTTCTGCCTTGCCTTTTGTAGTGACGCATAAATAAAATTAAAGAAAAACCCAATTTCATGTTTTTATGAAACTCTCTGTTTTCAGCACGCATTTATGAATGAGTTAAAAATATTTCTATGTAAAGGAAATCCCAAATAATATCTTCGGATATTGCGTGTTCTTTTTGTGCCCTACAGGTTGATAGGCGGTCCTTTATTAGTCAATATAAACGGCCTTACGTTTCAACGCTTTCGTCTTCGTCAGAGACCAAGGAACCCGCTTCGTCATCAGATGTCCATACAGGAAGGAGACAGACGAAAGTCGTCGCGACCGTAAAAAATCTTGCAAGTAGCCCATTTTCTCTCCTTCCGGTACGGACATTTGATGACAGGCCGTTTATACTGACTAATAAAGGACACCTAACAACCTTACGGCTCAAAAAGAACACACATATTTACGAAGAATGCCCAGGTTCAAAACAGACGGAACTTGGAAACTATCTTCGGATAACTCTTTTTTACTCCTTTTTTTGCGCCACAAGCCTACATATTGAAGAACAAGTTTTGACATAGAGATTACTTGAAACTTCATTAGGGTTTAGCCGTTGAGAGCAAGATCTCACCCAGATAAATGTTCCGATGCACCTTCTAGATTAAACGCAGTCGCTGGTTTCAAAAAATCAAGCAATTGGTCCTCTTCAAGCTTTAATATACCATAACGGCTGTTTGGCAGATAATCTCACAGATCTCACTTTACCATATACAGCTCAGAAAACCTGCACAAAGTAATCTGCTTCTGATGAGATCATGCTCGATCTCTAAACTATTAATGCTTTCAACAGATTTTCTCACTCATGACTCCAAAGTATCAGAATACTAAGAATAATACTGATAATATGAATAATAATAATAATACTGATAATGAGAATACTAAGCGGAAGTCGAGGGCAATCATCTCATTGGCATTAGTTGATCTTGTGCGTAGTCACACCGCCTTTGTATTTCTTCCACTATGCGAATAATCTTTTTGAGTGACTTTTCGTTCTTGGTGGCAAAGTAGTGAATTTCTGAGACTTCACCATGAAAAGCTAATCTCCACAAGTTTTGATTTAATGGTCTGAATTTTTACGGAACAGAAATATTATTTCAATTCCGCTCCATGCGAAACAAATGTTGTCACTGTCTCTCGAAATTCACGCTCCGCCAGGAGCATGTAAAGGCTGCTGCATGACGAAGGCGCAATATCCTCGGGCGCGAACGCGGCTTTATTAGCCGCAGAACGCATGAGGTACGGGATCTACAACAGTGAGGATACACGCGCGTCGCGTTTGCACACGCTCAACTAATATCGCCATTGCGCCTTCGTCATGCAGCAGCCTTTATAAGTTAACTCGGTGTTTTTACCACAGAGCCGAGGTTAGTGGGATGGTTGAAAGTCTCTACACAGTAGTGAGATCAAGCAAGTTGTTTGCTCTGCTTTGATAGTAGGTTATGCAACAGAAGCAGTGCTCAACACAACGAACACAACAGATGTTTCGGAATAAAAATTCTGCAGCTAAAGTGAGATTACAATGCCAGAATTAAGGGCAGCATTTGATTAGCTTTCATTCAAACAATCAGATCCTGACTCCTCTAAGCGAGAGAAAATACATCTAGATTGTTTACATCAGATAGTATGCTTGTATCTCCAATTGCCCATTCTAAGCGTAGTAATTGTTTATTCCTTTTAAAATCTTTGCAAATACCTAGCTTCTCATCGAGGATATCTGTGTGTATATCATTCTGTTTTCCTTATCAGTGTTACTGATATGACCAAGTCGTGAAAAATTTCCAGTACGCACTGATCCCTCCACCGACTCCGCTGCTCTACAGACCAATTCCACCACAAATGCCAGTCTCCGTCCCTGTTGGTGTTCCCCAAGATCCTGCGCCATCAAATTCAAATGTGAGTTTCATATCGTCTAGCAGATTTTCTGCTCAATATAGTGTGCTTGTGGTGCCGAGAGTTTGCGGTAAAAATTTGCGCTTGAACAAATAGCCACTTCAGCAATGCCGGCATCTTGCGCGCGCAAGACCGGCATTACAGGCGTTCCAATTGTTCACGCGCAAATTTTCAGGTAAACTCTCGGCAGCGCAAGCACACTATGAGCGAAAATTACAAGAGTGTGAAGTGTTACGCATACTACTTATCATGACATAAATGCGATACATTTATAAAACCGTAGATTGTCAATTCAGAATGATACCGGCGCCAGCGAGTCAGTGAATTATGACAGTGGTGTCGCTTTTATGGATGTATCCGACCCATCATTGCAAATCGAGGTAATTCGCAAGATAATGTTCTGCTTTCGATGCTTGATAGCCTAGATTTCGTTGCAATTACCGAGCACCCCATCGAATGCCTCGAATCGCTCCAATTTCTCACCTCTGCCGACTAGCGATGAATTTGAGGTAACTGAACAATCTGAAAAATCCGAAGGCAAATAGTCTTATCTTCAGGATAATAATGATCTCAACATAACGTTTGATAACGGCTATATCATCAATGGACAAGTCGTAATCAATAAACCCTATCAGCTACAAGCTCGTGGGCACAACTATTGATTATATTTGTAAGGATTGTACAGTCTGGTACATTTGACGGTCAGCAAGTTATTGTAAAGCCAACTTCTTGAGTATGTCTTGAGCAGCGTCAATTGCATATGCGCCGACGCCATGCCAACATTGTGCCTGATCGATTAATACGGAGCGCGTTCACGTTAAGCCGGCACGGCGCTAGCACGGCCCTGGCACAAAACGCTTCGAAATCGGCCTTACGCACAGAAATGGCACGGAGTTCATCTCGCCGTTATTTGCGCACAAATATTTTCGAACAAAAATACTAATTGGCCGGTCAAGTCTGCTAGACGATAAGCACTAAATAAGAACCATAAAATGTATCAGTAAGTACCTAGTACTTCAGTACGTATCGCCAATTCAATTTTGTCATTTTTACTATATTTCGTACAATATCGCATTTCCATTTTCGACTACCATGTCAGCATAAACAGATTAGCAACCGCTCAGCGTGTCTTCTTATATATAAAGCTGAATGTTTATTCCTCTGTATGTATGTGTGTGTGTCTGCATTCTTTTTTGAAAAATTTGAGAGTTTTACATTTCTATAAGTGACAGGTCCCTTGCACAATTTTACAACGCACAGAGGCCACTATCGAGATCCTAGTGGTTTTGAATCTCAAACCACCCACACAGAGATGGCTTGGCGCGTTTCATGTTCTACTTTTTATCATCGAGCCAGATGATATTGATATTATGGGCTTTGAACTATTAGGTTGTCCCGAAAGTTTTGTCCGTTTTTTGAAACACTATAAAACCACGCACAATAAAGACCTGAATGAGTTTCAACATCCATTCGATGCATCTTTTCCTTCTCTTTCTTACGGTTACATTTTCGAACCATAATCTTGTATGTTTTTTTGTTAATTGCCAGAATCCTCCACCCGTCAATTTTATCTGCTCAAAGTAAGGCTAATTTTTAAAAATTTCATCATAAAGTTTCGGAAAGGATTAAGTACGGATCAAATAAAGCAATCTTCGAACTACAAGGTAATATGTTTGAGTTCTTCTCGTCTGCTGTTTATAGCTTCAAAAAATTATTTCTTCGAAGGTCTCGATTTCTGGCAAAGTCATAAAAACACACAACTGCAGCAAATACACGAAATCAAATGAAGTTTCTGCGATTTAAAACATGATTCTTACTCAACATTATTTATGCAACATAGCCAAATTTGATTTGCTTTGAAAAAGCAGCTTTTTGGAATTTTTGGTAATTTTACGTGGCAAACGTAATCAAAAAGCCACGGTTTTTATTAAATGAATAATTATAACGGACTTGGTGAACGTGGCCCATATAGTCTAAAATAGGTAAAATGTAGCCAAAGATTTGTTTTACATAACAGTTACTAGCGCTCTTCGAGAACACCAACACAAAAATTTTTAGAACTCGGGAAAGATGTAGCGTTAGTGCTGAGCTGCTCTAAAAGACATGGCGATAATATTGCAAAGACAGTGTAGATCAGAGAGCAAATGTAGTTATAAGAAAGAGGTTATAAATGTGAATCAAATGGTACCTAGGTCGTCTATGGATTGGTGTTCTGTGAGTTTTGGTGAGCGATAGAAAAAACGGACAAAACTTTCGGGACAACCTAATATTAGGTTGTGACATGAGTTTTGTTACATTTTCTTCGTCTTCCTCCAGAAAACTCTGGAATATTCGACAAGGTCTCAAGAGCATATATGGGAGAGGGACAATGGGCTATCCGCTGGCACTATTTGTGCCCTCACGATACGACTTACAGTGAATACGAAGGACTCCAACCTCCATTTTTTCTTTGTTTTCTAAAAATTCTCTTTTTCTTCTATTCATCTTTTTGAATTAGTTATGGACTTCTGGGAGCATTGGTGGTAATACTAAGGCAACTTGACAGTTCAAGCTCTACAGTCACCTATTGGAAATTTGACAAAGATAATTAGACAATTCGAAAAAATTTAGAGGAACTCGAAAGTTTTCGTGTGTGACACGTATATATCAAAAATCTGCAACACTAATCATATTCTATCCTACTATGATAACGCGCTAAGGCCGTCTGTATTTTTGTGTGTGTCTGTCTGTGTGAAAATCTATCTGTCACGAAATTCATAGAGGAAGCTGCAACTAAGCTATCGGGCTGCAATTTTGCATAACATACCGTGCCAGCGTGCAGGCCCACCATGCACAAGGACGAGCCGGTTCGATAAGCGGGTCCCTCAAAATTTGCGCGTCAAACGGATCCATGCGCCTTTTGGCACGCAAAACTGGGTCGCTAATTCGACTTTTTGCAACGTTATGATTTGCCTGACAAGTAACTCTGCGCACCATGAATTCTACCTCAAAAAGTGCTCAAAAAGGTTGCTTTATTGCGAAAATAGCGCCAAAAAGTGAACGCGTAGATAGTCGATTTGGCAAGGTTTTATTTGAAAAAACTGAAAAGATTTTTGCACTGAAATGTAGCCCAAGGTGACTATTATCCTTATGACGATTATCAAACTAAAATAAATTCAGATCAGTAATCCGTTCAAATTCGCATTTGTTTCCTTGCAACAAAGTTTTTTTTCTCAAAATTACCGATCTTACATGGAGATGCTTCATGAATGAACAGTTGTTTACGATTTTGTGATGCCACAGCATCGCGTGGTGAGTTCCATTCTCATGCGACCATGAGAAAGGCTTACAGATAGGGAGCGAGTGCGAACCTCCGCGAAGCGGAGGTGACGCACTGGTATATATCTATTTATATATAAAACTCAATGTCTGTGAGGATGTTCGTTTAGTTGTTCGTTCGTAATAGAAACGTCAGCCATTGAACCAATTGAGCTAGATCTTCGCACACATATATTTTCGACCCCGGCGGTGGTTTACGGCTACTTTTTGCGGTAATTCGCAAGGCCCTTTTATTGATTTATTGATTTGTTTACCTAAATCTGGGAAAATGAAAGTTTGACGTGCTCTAATCAATCATTTTCCAGTAAACATTAAGCAGGGGTAGTAAAGTTCATTCTAATCTCAAGTTCGACAGAATGCAGCGGGTTCGTCTTAAAGCGCTTTTTGCGCATTGTAGAAGTTAGAAAGTGTAAGTATGATTGGCTTTCAGATTTGTGTGGAGGCGTGCGGCGGACTCCACTGATTTTAAGAATAAGCTGAACGAGAGAATACGAAATACAATGCTATAACGTGGTGGTTTAACAAGTTTATCCCGAAACAGGAGAGTGCGCAACCCCCTCCCCCTCTACACGAACCTGGGAGCCGATGACATTCCGGTGATAAGGGAACGAACTCCGCCAGTTTGAACCCGCCTTTGCTGGCAACTGGTCCTTTTGAGATATTGTTAATTGCAGGAGTAGTCCGTGGAGATGTTTCAAACTGGCGCAGTTCGCTCCCCTACCCCTTTTGGTTAGCCTAGGAGTCTCGGGTGAGACCGGGACTATCAGCTAGTTATATATAAAACTCAAAGTTTGTGCAACTCTTGACCGTATGTTTTTTATAGACTCCTTTGCGCGTGAACCGATTGAGCTGAAATTTTGCACATATATGTTTTCGACCCCGTAGATGGTTTTAGGCTACTTTCTTAAGCGATTCGCTGGATCCTTCTATTGATTTATTGATTTCGGCACTTTGAAATGAAGGTGAAGTCTTATCAACCACTATCATACCCCACACACATTTTGGTGTAAACAATAGCAGAGAAGCTCATTCTAAATTCTAACAAGAAGAACGCGGTAGAGCTAACTGGCTACCAAGCTTTCAAGTAAGTTCCTGATCATCTCGCACGTGTGGACTTGCATCCAGCTTCATGAGAGTGCGGAACCATATTCAGTTTAGTGTTTGTGAAATTTGCCCATATAAACTGTCAAAGCGAAACTTTTGAAGGGCTTCCAAGTGCAGAAACTAGGCAATGAAGATAACGCTATCAATTTCTAAATCAGGATTTTGGATATACCACTTGAAATGTCATGTATGTAGATTCCATAATTGATTAGAATGTTAGAATCAACCTATAACAGCCGGGCAAAGCCGGGTACAGCGGCTAGTTCAGAGATAAGGAAAAACCATTTGACAAAGTTGTGAGGATTTTTTTAGACGAGTGTAACAAATCTTATACAACCTAACAAAGTTACTTGGTATAAGGAGTGGAAGTGGAGTGGGACAGTACAGTCCATAACTCACTGTAAGCACATTCTAAATGTACAGAGGATAGGGCATTTTATCAATCCACGTAGTTATACACACTGTGCATGTGCAGTTTGCCAGTGTTGGATCTGAAGACTTCTGGCGAACTGCCAAATCTCGTCGCGACTGAAATCGCGTGAAGTATGCCCGGCCCTTTAGGCAAGAGGTCGTGCAAGGCACTTTAGGCAGTCTCATTCAATCACAAATTTTCCGATCATATTCATGTTGTTTTCAGGTTGCACATTACGTTTTAGCCAAAATTGTCCTTGAAAGTTTATAGGAATACGTCTAAATGAGGTGCGCGCTCATTATTCTGTGAATAGCCTATACCGCGTCAAGACCTCCGCGGGCAAAAGGATTTTGCAAGGCCTAAACACAGATACACTGTACATCAATTAGGCCTTTAACATGATTACGTGACACAAGCTGTGCATGATTCGCTTAAATGGGCGGAGCGGAAGGGCGCAGAGCGTTTACAGTAGAGTAGGTTTTTCGTAACGCGGTAAAATCGCGTGAACAAAAGGATAAGGCTACAGCAAGACGAAGGCGCAGAAGCAGTATCCAGTTAAACGGGCGCGGACGCGACGACGCAGGATTTACAACGGCGCATATCTTCACCGTTGTAAATCCTGCGCCTCATGCGCTCTGCAACTAATAAAGCCGCATTCGCGTCCAGAGATGTTGCGCCTTCGTCATGCAGCAGTCTATAGGTACGCGTTATTTGCGCACGCAAGTAGCCAGCACTAGAGGCATAGTTACAGTCGAGTGGTTTTCCGGTTGGCATAATGTGGTTGCAATGTAGGCAAAATGCGGCAAAATTGGCGCGTAAATAATTAGCCACGCCAGTAATGGCGGCATTCTGCGCGCGCAGTTGGAAGGCGTTACAGGCGTAGCTTTTTCTACACGAACCGATTTTGTACCGCATTTCACCTACAGTGCAAACACACTATATCAAGCGGAAGATCTACTCAACTGTAGTTGTTCACGCGCAAGTTCTACCGCATTTTTTCGGCACCGCAAGCGCATCAAATCAAGCGGAAAATCTACCTGACTGTAGGCTGTGGAGGAACTATTAGGTTGTCCCGAAAGTAAACCGTATTTTTGAATAAATCAAACATTTTTTGTTTTCCTAGCAGACTTGGGGTACCATTCGATAGAGCGAAGCAAGCTCTGCAAAATGACCACCAAGGATCCGCTTAAGTCGCATTCCATGCAAAGTCTGAAGCCAAAATCGAAAAAAAATTTATTACCTGAAAATTGGATTTTCGCGGGGAAAATCCCTACGCACTCCCAACTTGTTCATTATACAGCAGACACATAGTAGTACTCATATAAGCTTTTGCCGAATTTTTTCCTGGCATAGAAAGCGAGAAACAAAAATTGTCCAAAAATGGCAAACTCCGCTTCCAGCCCCTCCCACATATGTCATTGTATACTACAAGCCTTACTGAGTATAACCTCAAAATTTGAGCCCTGTATGTGCTCTTGTAGTAGAAATACCGAGTTTTACATGGAAAACCTGAAAAAAGTGGCATTTTGGCATTTTGGGACCCCCTTTGCAACCAAAAACATTTTTCAATACTACTATGTGTCTACTATATAAGGACCAAGTTGGAAGTCAGTAGGAAATTTCTGGAAGGAGATCCGATTTTTAGGGTAGCTGAAAATTTTTGATTTTTGGATCCAAATTTTACCTGGATCGCGACTTAGACGGTTCTTTGGTGGTCATTTGGTAGAGCTTGCTTCGCTCTATCGAATGGTGCCCCAAGTCTGCCAGAAAAACAAGAACAGTTTGATTTATGCAAAGTACGGTATACTTTTAGGACAACCTAATATGTTGATAGACCTTTAATAACCATTACAGATTCTTGGTACTTTTCCGTTATCCGGGCCCTTTTTTTCAAGAAAGGATTTTGCTTCTTTTCTTGTACTAGATTTGGTAAAAATTTCAGAGGATGGAGAGTCAACCTCCTGTCACTTGTTAAAAAAAAATTGACACGTCATTTACATGTTTAACAGGTTTTACCAAGGTTTTGTTTAGCCTACCTATCGATGTACCGGGCTGTCAAATGAAGTGTCTGTTGCACCAGCTCCAGCATCTCCACTTCCGAGCTGGACTCGACCCGGGACTGCGTCTCTTTCGTGGAACATGCTCCCTAATCACTTCCAATCGATTGAGGCTCCACCCTTTCCAAGCTCGCCCTGGGAAAGTACTCAGGGCGACTTTTTCATCATCTAAACGACGAGACGATCGGCAGCCTTCAAGCCATCATCTGTATTATTTCCCAGCTCGTTTGGCGGAAACAACGTGAAAAGCAGGATTTCTTTGAATAATTGCTGAAAGTTATCAAGCTGTTCCAATAAACGTTTGAACCTGTCTTGGTTTTATGGTACACTCCTGAACGGCTTTTGAATCATTTCAGGTACTTTCGCTTCATCGGAAATGATTTTGAAAAAAACATTAATTGTCCCCAAACGTGTCAATTTTTATCTTGGCACGTAGTAAGGAGACAGCCTCACAAGACTTATTGAAAAATTCTTAAGCAGAAGCACGCATCTCATGAGAACATTTTGAAGAAATAATTCCGGTGACGGAAAAATACCTATTTTTCTTCTACAAATGGCTGACTAAAATCATCTGACATCTGAAAGCATGAGTTCGAGGTGTGTGTGCTCTTTTCAAGGTCTTGTTAATATCGGCGATTTTATTCTGCAATCATGCTTGCGCTTCACAACATTTCTTGCTCATCGATTTTGTGTACCATCAGTCACACAATACTATCATTCAGCTGCTGCGGCATTCGATTTTTTCGACCCTTTCTTTGTTCTATCGAACGATGCTTCCTGTAAAGGTTTGGTGGATCAAACACTGAGTCCCCTTTAACCCTCCCGTTTCGACGTACCTCTTTGCTCGACGTTGCGCCACGACGCGCTCTTCTCCTTTTTCTAATTATGATTACCACAATGCCTACAATAATAATGCCAACCAAGACACCAGCTACGAGACCGATATAAAAGAATGTTCCTGAAGAAGACAACTTTTATTAGTCTGACATTTCTAGCAAATTAAAAAAAGTATTACGCCGTTCCAGTGAGCGTGCGATGATTCCAGATCTGAGTGATGCACGTTTCAGTAATTGTGCAGCGCTCCCAGAACTGGATAAGGCACGTTCAGTGAATATGCAGTTCTTCCAATACTAAATAATACACCTTTTAGTAGATGTGTGCTGCTTGTACTGGATAATGCGCTATCCTCTTCGTCATACTGATATTTATCCAGCCATCCTCTCTTGATTCTGACTCCTGTACGAGTAACTTCAAACAGCAACGTTCAGTGGAAGAAAGCGCCTGGCTTACGAGATGATAGCATAATTTCAACCGCTCAAAGTGACTAGAACAGGGGAAATTGGCCACTTGATAAGCTACTGGTTTTGATTATGAGTGCAAGTATGGCGTATGGTCTATGCCATATGACGACTTTACGATAAACGATATGAACATATTGACGACAAAGGAGTGAAATTTGTGCATCGATCGTGTGGATCATATACTAAACTCATTGATTACGTGTGGTACCTCAAGATGTGGATCCTTGGCTAATTTTGAACAAGTTGCATGGGCGCTCATTGTCCTTGCTTATGAAAATAATGAAAGAGCCCTCGGGAGAGTAACCCACAAGGCGATAGTGAGGTCCTGCAGCACTACCTCTTGTCTGCTGTAAATGGGTTGAGAAGTTTTTCCAATGATTGCTTCTACGCGCTGAGTCAAATGTATGGTGTCGAGCATTGTAAGAAAAAGCCAATAGCCAGCTGGGGCTGTACAGGAGTCTCAGTGTCGATCCTTAAAAGAAGGAGCGTAATTCCTGGGCACGAAACTTTCTTTTATCGTGTCTGGCCGTATTTGCAAATAAAAGGCTACGTCTTTGTGTCCACCAATTTTTCCCTGGATCTTAAAAAAGAGTCATTTAGCCCGCTTGAGATGAGTATAAACCTAATGCATTTCCTACTCTATTCACGACATTATGATTCAATGTATCACACACGGAGTTGAACAGTGTCGAAACCTGATCTATTCTTGTGCATTAAGAGGCACTTGTTAAGAAACGAATTATATCAGCCTACTAGAGAAGAGATTGATGCGCGTATGCCAACACAATCTAAGACTCAAAGAGCATCTAAGGATGAGTTTGTTAATATATCACGTGGAGTTGAATTCTGATCTATTGGAGAGAAAAGGACTTTCTTATAAGATCTTCAAAACTGCGTCTGCAAGCTCCATGGATGGTGACCTGTTCGGTTACAACTGAAGGAACGGTGAAACAAGAGTCCGAGTGATTTTGGTAAAGGAACTGTTCCACTATCATTCCTTATCATGACTTATCCTACTATAATAACGCGCTAAGGCCGTCTGTTTTTTGTGTGTCTGTGTGTCTGTATGAAAATCTGTTTGTCGCGAAATTCATAGAGGAAGCTGTAGCTAAGCTATCGGGCTGCAATTATGCATAACATACCGTGCCAGCCTGTAGGCCCACCATGCGCAAGGACGAGCCGGTTCGATAAGCGGGTCCCTCAAAATTTGCGCGTCAAACGTGTCCACGCGCCTTTTGGCACGCAAAATTGGGTCGCTAATTCGACTTTTTGCAAAGTTATGATTTGCCTGACAAGTAACTCTGCGTGCCATGAATTCCAGCCCAAAAAATGCTCAAAAAATTTGCTTTTTTGCGAAAACAGCGCCAAAAAGTGATGAACGCTTAGATAGTCGATTTGGCAAGGTTTTATTTGAAAAAACTGAAAAGTTTTTGCACTGAAATGTAGCCCAAGGTGACTATTATCCTTATGACGATTATCAAACTAAAATAAATTCAGATCAGTAATCCGTTCAAATTCGCATTTGTTTCCTTGCAACAAAGTTTTTTTTTCTCAAATTTACCGATCTTACATGGAAATGCTTCATGAATGAACAGTTGTTTACGATTCATTTGTGATGCTCAGCATCGCGTGGTGAGTTTCAAAGCCATTCTCATGCGAACATGAGAAAGGCATACGGATAGGGAGCCAGTGCGAACCTCCGCGAAGCGGAGGTGACGCACTGGTCATCTATATATATATAAAACTCAATGTCTGTGAGGATGTTCGTTTAGTTGTTCGTTCGTTATAGAAACGCGCGCCGCTGAACCGATCCGGCTGAAACTTCGCACACGTATATTTTCGACCCCGTCGGTGGTTTAGAGCTACTTTCCGCTGCGATTCGCCGGGCCATTCTATCGATTTATTAATTTGTTTACTCAAACCTTATAAAATGAAGGGCCATCATGGCAACCGATCATTTTTACATATAAGCATGTATGCAGGGGCGGTAAAGTCCATTTCAGTCTTAAAGTTGGTAGGGTGCGGTATTTAGTCTGAAAGCGCTTTACGCGCACGTTGGAAGAAATCTAGAGGCGTAAGTTTACAAGTTCTGTTGGCTTAACTAACTTGAAGTCTCGGGTGAGACCGGGACCACCAGCTAGTAACTTATAATAAAGGGCTAAGGGTTGTTTACGTTTGCCTGTCTATGTGAATCTCTGTCTGTCACGAAATTCGTAGAGCGTGTTCCAGCCAACGTCCTGAGCCCAAGTTTTGCATAGCGCACGCTACCAGCATGAAAGCTCACTATACAAAAGCATGAGCGGATCTTTGGTGTGTACCAAGTGATAGGGTAGACGAGTAGTTGTGGAATAGGTTTATTCACACTGGCGTAGATTAGTTGAGAGCGATCCATATTACAGTCGGGGGCTCCTTATATACACGAATAGAAGGCGGAGCTTGCCCGGGTACAATGTACAACGTAGGAGGGGTACGTGGCTTAAAAGGAGTTGCCGCCGTTCGGCTACACTCCTGGTGCACAGGTGCCAATCATTCTTGAGTGATTAGATACTCAAGAATGAGTGGCGTACAATTCAGCCTATGGGAACTCCATAGGCGATGTGGAAAATGGAGTGGATTGGGTTGATGATATAGAAATCATCAACACTCCGGGCGACTAGGAAACGAAATGAGTAAAATCAGGTGAAGTTCAGAAAAATACACGTAATCGTTATAATGAACAAGCATTGGTGATCAAAATTACGAAAAATTACACGCACATTAATGACAATTTTATGATTTTTGGGACACAAAAAATGGTGAGGGCTAACGCGGCTATGATTGCGATGGTAGCCACGACGAGCATCTTCCATGACGAGAGGGCGACGCTGATGATGTGTCCAATGTCGGGGTAGTTGTAGACGTTGACGTACGAAGCTTCCTCGCTAGCATTTGTGAAGAGCAGTCCGTTTTCGTGTGGGTGGTATGCCAGGATACCAGAGATGTTGAATACGTGGCTTTTCGTTCCGCATCTCAGTGAACATCTGTCGACATAGTTAGCGACGGTCGATTGAAGTAGAGCAACTGTCTGCACTGTGTTTTCATTGCAGAAAGCAGCATAAATGTTCTGCGTGCTCTTATCTCCACCATTGTCGGGCGCGGTGAATGACAAGAAAAGGTAAGTCGTGCACCGGTCACGCAGTTGTAGCATCCTTGAATCGGTGAGGCTGTGATGTCGCAGTCTTCATTGTTGACAACACTCGCTGTATTCCATTCCGCAGTCGTGCTGATAGTAACGTCGACTATGGATTTGTGGCTGACTCCAAGTACTCTTCCATGGGCTTCTTGTAGATGTAAGAATGAGGAAGAGAGTGGCAGTCTGCTATCCATCGATGTCGTCAGATCCGATATGTTTGTGTTCTTGCAGATACAGTTAGCTTGATCATCCGTCGGGTAGCACTTGCAAGTGTCTTCTACATGGCAAAGGGAGAGGTTTTGCGAGCTTTCCATCGTTGGACATCTGAGAGCAAATACGTCGTCTTTGTCGACCAAGGCAGTCTCCGCTTTGGTGGTGTTGACTGCTTGTAAAAACACAGAGCTCAGCAGCGGAATCGTCGGCGTTGTCACGAATTCCAATGTTAGGTTAGCGTCCTTTTGCGTATGAGTGGTCTGCGCAGTAATTGTTGCAGTGTTCGTTTCTCTTCGTCCAGTCACACTTGTGTAAGTGTATTTGATGATTGCTGATTCTTCCCAAGTTGGGCAGTGGAACACTTGGTAAATTGTTTCACTTTGCGGTTTTCCATATGAGCGGGAGAAGAGACATCCAGGTAGAGGTAGAAGGCAACCACATCCGATGCTTCCACATGACGAGGTGCACCTTGAGTATCCAGGAAATTCGTAGGTGTTGTGAAGTTCAGGTATGTAGGATCGTTGGCTTGTGTGATCACATGTGTTAGATGAGCATGATCCAGAGAAATGGCATCGTTTTGCTGACTCGGTCACTATCTCGGCATCTCTGGTGTAGAACAAGACTACGGGATTGCATTGGAGTAGGACGTGTTGAAGTTGTATCTCCATGCTACCAATTGTCTTGTTGTCGTGTTGGATCCTGAAGCAGGCTTGAGGGCGGTGCTCACTTAGAGTTATTCTGTTTTCGATAGTGTAGCGACAGTTGAGTGCGTTATTGATCCTCGTGCAGACGGCGTTCCTTGACGTGAGTGTGTGAGTGTATTGGCATGAAGTGACTCCTGTGATGAGACATATTGCAATAGCCACAAACGTGATCATCTTCGATTGGATTGGTAGAGATCGGGATTGTCTTCCTAGCAGCTCGGAAAGTCGATCATTCGCAGAAGCAGCGTGATTTTCCGTTGGCATGTCGTTCTGGTTAGTTCGGCACAGAAGCTGTTTTCGTCGAATTCCAGTGCAGCAAATGAGCCAGATGAGCAGCATCATAAGGTATGCGCAAACTGCTGTGATTGCTATCGCAGTGTTGGGGGCGCAGTGTGGATTCCGAAGCAAGTCTGCACAAACTATGCATTTGACCATGTCGCAAATGTCTCTTGGTGGGCAAATAATGATGTCGGAGTACTGTGTTGCTCCGATCATGGTGCGCCATTGAACTCGATGTTCTGTTGTGCGGTACTTCGGCGGGAGTGCTATTTCGTTTATTCCTTTCTTCGTCGAGATTTTCAGACAATCCTTGTAGTTGAGACATAGTTGTGATTGTGATTCTGAAGTCGTGTTAACTTTCACTCCATGTTCAGAGCAGGATAGCACATTAGCGGATGCCGTATCGATGAGAAGAAGAGCTGTCAGGCATATTGTTATCATCACTGACTTGCTGATTTGCGAAGCGCTTCTCTTTATGGTGGAGGAGTTAGAAGATGCGTAGTCTATAGGCTTTTTCGCAGCTCTCTGTGGTTGCTTGCGAGGTTCAGGTGCAGTTGTTGGTTTCTTCCTGAGCGCTTTTCTAACCTTGGCCACTATTCCTCCTTTTTGTGGCGTTGGATCCTGTCGCTTATCTTCGTTTTCTATCGTTGAACGAATTTCTAAGGGAACTATGCGATTGAGAGGTCTTTGAATCTCTCTTCCAGATGTAGTTCTTAGAATTGCGCTTCTGATTTCTCCATCTTTGCTTGGTACGAGTTGTGTTATAACAGCCATGGGCCAGTGTCCTCTGTTCAATTGTGAATCTTCGTCAAGCAGTACAACGTCTCCAACTTCTGGTTTGCGATTTGTGGTTCTTCCATTCTTGAAAACATGGTGACGGTCGCGAAGTTCAAGGAGGTAGTCGTGTTTCCAAACACTCCAGAACTTTTTCGTTATCTTCTCGGTCTCCAGAAGAGCTGTTTTGGCTTCCTTTTGTGATGAGAGTTCTGGACTTATCCGGTAATCTGGATCCTGTACATCATCGTCGACGGGTGTAAGTTGAGTGCTTCCAAGCCGAACGTCCTTATAGATGAAGTCCACTGGTCTCAAGACTTGGCAAGAAGGATCGTTTTCGCCTATGTGAGTCAATGGTCTTGAGTTGACGATGCTTTCGATTTCACATAACGACGTTTGAAGAAGTTCGTCTGTTAGTTTCCGTCGTCCGATAGTCTTCTGCATTGCTCTTTTCACTAGTCCAACCATTCTTTCCCAAACTCCTCCCATCCATGGTGAAGCTGGAGGAATGAAGTACCAGCTGATGCGGTGTTCGGCAAGGAAGAGTGATAAATGGTCGGAATCATCATTATTGACGTTGTTGCTGAGTATCAGTTCACTGAGGCGGAAGTTGGTTCCATTGTCGCTAATGATCTTTTCTGGTACTCCTCGTCGTGCGATGAATCTTTTGAATGTGAGGAGAAAGCTTTTTGCGGAGAGGTCTGTAGCCACTTCCAGATGTATCAGCCGAGTGACTAGGCATGTGTATAGTGCTACGTAGCGCTTCTCATCTTGTCCATTTGGCGCTTTGATCAGTATCGGTCCCATATAGTCGACTCCCGTGTAGGCGAATGGTTTTGCTTGAGTCACGCGTTCTCTTGGAAGTGGGCCCATATCTGGATACGTGAAGGGTGACGAATTGAATTTCTTGCAAGTAGTGCAACATCGCAGAACTTTCTTGCAAAGCACTCTGTCTCTTGGTATCCAGAATCGTTGTCGAAGCTCGTATAAAAGCTGGTTGTTTCCGCAGTGAGCCAAGTCTCGGTGGATGTACTCGGCGATCCTAAGTCCCAGTACACTTTGCTTAGGTATATATATGGGATTAGCTAACTCTGACTGGACTTCAGCACGTTGTATGCGTCCACACTTTCGTAGGATTCCATCGCTGTCGAACACAGTCTTGAACTTTTTGAAACGTTTTTTGAAACGAGAGCTGCGCCGTAAATCCGTTGCTCTTGCAAGACGATTTGCTTTTCAGCAAGGATAACTTCAGCTGCATTTGGCAAACGGCTTGTCACTTGATCTTCATCTGCGATCTTGAAGCGGGTATTTTTGCTTGCCTTGCGGATGAAACGTAGACAGTATGCCACAATCCTCTTCAGTCTGGGATAGTTGCTTATTGTATCAATTGGCCAGTCGGATTCGCTTTTGTTGAGATCCTCTGTAGTATGTTGAATGAGCATTTCGCACTCGTCATCGTCAATGTCTTTGACGTCACTGATGGGACGTACTGGCCATTCCTCGTCGGGGTAACTGAGCCAAGTTGGTCCTTTCCACCAACTGCAAGCAGCGAAGTCTTGCTTGTTAATTCCTCTTGTGGCACAATCCGCGGCATTCTCTTCTGTTGGAACATGGAAGAAGTTGAGTTTGGCTGTTTCTCTGATCCTTTCTGCTGCGAAGCTGATTTTCTGAACTAGTGTGGTTACAATTGGTGGAAGCTTTTTGTTGCTAGCTATCCATGATAGTGCGATCGTTGAGTCGCTGAACAGGTTGACTTCGGTGAAGTTTATTCCGCATTTTGACATGGTTGTTTCGGCCACAGATAGTCCGAGAAATATTGACAGCAGTTCTAGTCTCGGAATAGTTTGTTCCTTCTTGATAGGCGCGACTTTCGCTTTTGCCGTGAAGAGTGATGTGTTCTTCGTACCATTCTTCGTTGATGTAGTCGTATAAAGACAGCAGGCGTAAGCTCGTTTGGAACTATCAACAAATACAGAAAGCATATATTTGGCCTCGGGAGTTTTGTTCAGCACTGTGCGTGGTATGGCTTTCTTGAATCCGGCGATATCTTCCTTGATTGCTTTCCATCTCTGGATTTGTTCTTCAGGGAGGATTGTGTCCCACCCTAACTTTTGTTTGTGTATATCCTGCAGGAATATCTTCGCCGGTATCATCAAGGGCGTAAGCAGTCCAAGCGGGTCGAAACAGAATCCGTTTATTTGGCTGAGTACAGATCTTTTAGTGACCTTGATTTGTTCTTTGTCTGCACATTCCATGATTAAGGTGTCATCGTCAGCTTTCCACTTAATTCCGAGCACTTTGAGTTCGCAGCTTTTTGCTCTATCCAAGTCCTTGATTTGTGCGTTTACTTCGGCAGAATCTGACAAGTAGTCGCGGAGGTTCATTCCGATAGAAGAGAAGAGCTCTTTCGAAGCAATGTATTTCTCTATAAGCTCTTGCGGGTTGTTGCCTTCTAACAACACATTGTCAACGTAGAGAGACTTAGATAGTTCCTTTGTAATCGGAGTATCCTGCTCTTCAATGTGCTTGAGTATGGACTGATTCAGTATAGCTGAGCTTGCGTTAATTCCAAAGGGAACCCGGCAGAAGCGGTAGTATTTGACGTTATTGCCTTCGGCCGGCATATTCAGGTCCTTTATCCACAGAAATCGTGTTGCATCTCGATGGTTTTCGGGAAGGCGTATTTGTAGAAAAGCCTTTTGGATGTCCGCTACCATTGTATGTTTGTATGTCCGAAAGAGCAGTAAAATTTCATGGATGAGAGGCGTGAGAGCATGTCCCTCAAAGACGACGTCGTTGAGGCTGAGCTCGTTTCTTCCGTGGGATGAAGCATCGAAGACAATCCGAAGTTCGGTTGTCTTTCCAGGTGTCCATACGTGTCGATGTGGAAGGTAGAAGGATGTTACTCCTGCTGGTTGTAGAGTACATTCCTCGATGATTCCTTCTTTAATGTAGTCTTCAATGGTGCTGTTGTAGAGCTGAAGCTTTTTGTCGTCGCTTCGTAGTGTCCGAAGGAGAGCCTGCATCCGGCGAAAGGCAATGTTGAAGTTTTCCTTGAGTTTGCCAACGTTTTCATTGAAGGGGAATCCTGCTGTGATTGTGCCTTCTTTGATTCTGATAGTTCTTCTATAGTCATCCATGAATTTGATTATAGATGCTTCGTCGGGATCGTTTTCGGTTTTTAGTCCTAGCGATTCAAGCTCATAGAGGTGTTTGATGTCCTGCTTGTAGTTTTCTCTTGGTGAGATTGCCGGGGTTGCTACCACAAGTAAACTTCCATAAACTTCAGTTATGCTTGCTGTTGTCGAAACTAGGCTTGTCCCGGATATGGTGTATCCGAAAACGGTAGGAGTGAGAATTAGTCCCGAAGGAAGTGTCAGCACTGGAGCAGTATGGTCTATGACAGTGTTAAGTATGTCCTGGCCAATGAGAATATCAGGCGAGACGCTGGTTCTTGCAAGCGTTTGCTGTGCTATATCCAAGTTCTCCTTTGAAATGTACAGAAGATCCGCCTCAGTGAGATGTGCTGTATCCAGGTTGGTCGTGAGCTTTTGCTTAGTGTGTACAGACATCTTCTTCAGTTTTTTAGGTCCTCGTAAACTCTTCAAGGTAATCAAAACCTCATTTGAGTTAAAAACTTCTTGCAGTTCACCCATTCCGGATGTGGTGAACGACGTTGTTCGGACGATTGGAAGCTTGAATGTTTCGCTAAGGTTCGACTTGATGAAACTTCTTTGCGCTCCTGAGTCCAGAAGTATTGTTATTGGTTGATAGTCCCATTGTTCTTCATTGAAAATCATCGCTGTTGCAATTTGAAGTACGCACTGGTTGTGAAGGAGTGGGGCTTTGTCCACAACAGATATTTCACGTCCATTTTGTGAGTTTTGTGCGGCTCGTACTTCGTTCGTCTTAGGTCGGTTGCGTTGACTGGAGGGTTGCGGTAGTCGATTTGGTAGCGTTGGTTGCCGATCCATATTTGCAGGTCGACGTGAGACTGCAAGGTACCCGTTGTCTTGCTTCTTTGCATCTGAGAGGCAGAGAGATCCATGGTGTGAGTCTTTGCATTTAGGGCACACTCCAATAATTGTGCAGTCCTTCGAAGTGTGATTCTTAGCAAAACACCTCCAGCATACTCTTTGATTTCTTGCTTCTAGGCGTCGTGCTTCCGGGGTGGTGTATCTTTGGCAGGTATAGGGCGAATGCGACTGCCCACATAAACACAGACGTTTTGGTTTCGAAAAGTGATTCTCTTCTCCCCATCTTGTTCTGTTGCTCCTTCCATTTTGTTGAGCGTCCTGGCGATGACTGGTTGGGAAAAGAGTTTCCGTTGTAAGCGAAGTGGTTTCCCGCATTGAAATAATGCCATCGATAGCATTTAGGATTTCGCCAACATCAAAGGGATCATCTTGTATCGCTTCTTTTTGGATGGCGGTCGTACAAATGGATTCGGGAAATTTGGAGAAGATTATCCGACGCCAAACTCGGTCTGCGTTCAGCTTCATGCCTGTTTGTTCCAAATGGATGATCCTGGAGTTGATTGCTTCAAAGGTGTCTCGGCAACTCTTCGGATTATCAGACGCCCGTGAAAGCTTTTCGATCTCATTTATGAGTATGTCTGCCATGTTGGCCGAACGATCGAAATGCTTTTTCACGATTTCTACTGCTGTCTCATATTTTTCTCCAACAACGGGGATGCAGCTTAGAGTGGCTGCTGCTTTTCCTTTTAGAGCTTGTTTCAGAAACAAGAATTTGTCCGTGTCGGATAACTCCTCGTCGGTGTGGATAAGTGATTCGAAGACTGTCCAGAAACTGTTGAACTCTCGGAAGTTGCCTGAGAACGTCGGAATTTCAAGCATGGGCTTCCGAATTTTGATCTGCCTTTCGTTGCGTTCCGGAGTTCCAGCTTGCTCAACTTCGCTACTTGGCTGACTCGGTATGCTCGGAGTACTGCAGTGCACAAGCGCACTTTGTTCCTTGAGTTCATGTTGTCGGAACTGGATCCTGTTCTGCCACTGTACTGTCATGACCTCCAGAGGAAGAGACTCTAACTCGAGATGTTTGCTGAGTTCAGTCATCAGCTTTTCTCTCTCTTTTTCCTCGTTTCTTGAGCCGACATATTCAATTGCGGCATTTACTTGAGTATCTTGAAGTCTGACGGCATTTTGGAGAGAATTGAGCAAATGCGTGATTTCTCCCATTTTCCTTTTGATGTATGTTTCGCATTCAGTCTTGTCCACAGGAAAAGTGAATGGTGTATCAATTTTATTCACTTCCGACTCGTATGATTTCACAAGTGCGCAGGCATTGTTGATTTTCGATTTGAAGATTTGGAGCGATGCCATTTTTGTATCGCACAAAGTTGTGTTCGGTGCTTCCGTTGAGCGTTGGTTGCGAGCGTCGCAACGTGAGATGTGTATCCTCGTTGTAGACTTTGGATTGAGGACGACAGCAAGGCTGGCCTCTTATGATAGGTGTCCTTACGGGTGCAAGGAAGCCTTCTAGTGAGCTGGCAATTGGGTGCCGAGCTTTTACTAGCTGTCAGCAAGCGTGCCTTGTTGGCTTGAACGCTGTGCTGGACGATAAGGTGTGTTGAACCTGTACCGTGAGGATTGAGAGCTTGAGTTCTTGGTGGAACTTCGAAGCTTAACAAGTAAGATTTTTTGGTTCTTGACTTGTTCTTTCTTCCGTTGAAATCTCTTTTTTCTAACTCTGGTTCCTTTGCAGGACTCGCGAAGAGATTAGTGAGATTGGAAGTGCACACACAAACTGATTCACTCTTTGGTTCCTTACGAAAAGGACGCGCGAAAAGAGTTTCACGAGTTGTGGTGGTGTTTGCTGCACAAAATTCTTTCCACTCCCTGGTCTCTTACGAAAAGAGCGCGCAAGGGAAGTTTTCAGAAATTAAGTGTTTAGCTACTACCAACTGGTCCTTTACTACCCTCTGGTCTCTTACGAAAAGAGCTCGCGAAAGGGGTTCAATTTGCAGTGGAGTTGTTGCACCGACTGTTTTCTTTACTACTCTCGGGTCTCTTACGAAAAGAGCGCGCAACGAGAGGTTCAATAATCAGTAGTGTTACCTGCCAGCTGGTCTTTTACTACCCTCTGGTCTCTTACGAAAAGAGCTCGCGAAAGGGGTTCAATTTGCAGTGGAGTTGTCTGCCGACTGGTCCTTTACTACCCTCTGGTCTCTTACGAAAAGAGCTCGCGAAAGGGGTTCAATTTGCAGTGGAGTTGTGGAACCAGCTGTTTTCTTTAGCCCTCGGGTCTCTTACGAAAAGAGCGCGCAACGAGGGTGTCAATATTCAGTGGTGTTGCTCAACAACTGTTTTTTTTACTACTCTCGGGTCTCTTACGAAAAGAGCGCGCAACGAGAGGTTCAATATTCAGTGTCCTGCCACGCGGGTCTTGTAGGCCTTGATTTCCGAGGGGAAATGCAAGGAAGTTCACTGGACGATGCACCAATTTGGTGTGTACCAAGTGATAGGGTAGACGAGTAGTTGTGGAATAGGTTTATTCACACTGGCGTAGATTAGTTGAGAGCGATCCATATTACAGTCGGGGGCTCCTTATATACACGAATAGAAGGCGGAGCTTGCCCGGGTACAATGTACAACGTAGGAGGGGTACATGGCTTAAAAGGAGTTGCCGCCGTTCGGCTACACTCCTGGTGCACAGGTGCCAATCATTCTTGAGTGATTAGATACTCAAGAATGAGTGGCGTACAATTCAGCCTATGGGAACTCCATAGGCGATGTGGAAAATGGAGTGGATTGGGTTGATGATATAGAAATCATCAACAGGATCCGTTGAGAGGATCCATTGAAAATTGCGCTTCAAAAGGATCCACTTGGCTTCTGGCTAGCAAATTTGGGTCCGTAGTACTATTTTTTACGGAGTTAAGGATATATTTGACAAGCTAATGTGCAAGCCATGGACGTTGGCCTAAAGAAGTGATGAAAAGTCTACTACTTTATGAAGACAGCGCCAAAAAGCTTCGCTGTGTAAACGGTCAATTTTTCAAGATTTTACCTGATTATTTGAGAAGATTTTTGCACAGAGGTGTAGCCCACTATGTTTATTGTCCTTACGGCGACTACCAAGCCATAAAAATTCCAAAAGCCTATTCGAATTTGCATCTGTTCTTCTGGGAAAGATTTTATCCACACGAAAATACCGATCTCACATGAAAAACCTCTACGAATGAGTTTACTGTTACTGTTTACGAAATATTCCTGATAGCCTACACATAGCGCGGTGAGTTTCAATGTCATTATTAGGCGGGAATGAGTAAGGCATACAGAAAATAGGGCCAGTGCGAGCCTCTGCGAAGCAGAGGTGACGCACTGGTAATAGTAATAACGAGCTAAGGGTGTTTATGTGACTTTGTGTGTGTGTGTCTGTTACGAAATTCGTGGAGCGTGTTCCAGCTAATGTCTTGAGCTCAAATTTTGCATGGCGCATGCTATCGGTGTGGGAGTTCAACATGCAAAAGCGCGAGCGGATCCGTCGAGTGGATCACTCAAAAACTGCGCTGCAAACGGATCCACTTGGCTTCTGGCCAGCAAAATTGGGCCTGATTAACAAGCTAATGGCAAGCCATGGACTTTAGCCCAAAAAATTGAACTAAAGTTGATTACTTTACGAAAACGGCGCCGAGAAAAATCAGTTGCGTAAATGTTCAATTTGCCAAGATTTTACCTAACCATTTGGGAAAATTTTTGCACAAAAACGTAGCTCACGGTGATCATCGTCGTTATGGCGACTACCATACCATAAAAGTCCAAAAATCGGTTCAAATTTTCATTTATTCTTCTCGGAAAAGTTTCATCCACACGAAAATACGATCTCACACAAAAAAGCTTTCGGAATAAGTAGTTGTTTACAATTCATTCGTGATAGCCTGCATAGCGCGGTAAGTTTCAATGTCACTATTATGCGGGAATGAGCAAGGCATACAGAAAGTAGGGCCAGTGCGAGCCTCTGCGAAGCAGAGGCGATCGCCTCTCCTTCGCAGAGGCTGCGATCGGCGATCGCCCTGCGTCGACGCACTGGTTGTTATCGAAAGGCCAGTCAGCATGTTTAGGGGATGGTCGTGGCGGGTTGGCACACGTATTAGTGAGGGTCTTACGTAGCTCAAAACTCTTTTTAAAAGTAACAGTAGTTCAAGATGGTTTTGTCTATGTTTTACAGATATTGCTCCGCCTCTATGTGGCGATTGTCCTGATACAAATCGGAAGGCAGTTGATGATCGATAGTGTGTGACATTACTGACCCGCTTTATGCAACTTATTCCAATCATGCAAGTGGTGTAGCGCAATATTCTCTAATCACTTGTGATGTAGAAGCAAACAAAGAAAACGATGTAAAAGCCAAAGCGATAGTCGACACTGTTGTTGAGTGCGCTCGATACAACCTTAAACCAGATGGATTACTTATTGTTAGTTGCAAAACATATGCAATGAATAAGCAGTTCATTTGTTATGCACTGCAGCTCGCTTTTTTATATTCAGAGAACGTGAACTGTTGAGATCAAGATTCCCATCATCACGAACCTCTGAAAATTCCTCTTTGCGCCAAACCTAGGGGGAGCGTTAGATGCTGATGGAAAGTTGCATGTAGTTGACAGGAGAACAATTCGACAGATCTGTTTCAAAATATGATGCACAACATGGACATTGTGTTCGATCAAGAAGATGAAATTTATGACTATGACATTTTTGCTAGCGACGTAAAACACGCTCTCTTTACGCCTGAGCAAGCAGTTGACGAAATGATGCAGTCTTGGAACATCATAGCATTTGACGTTGGTCTGGTGCCCAAAGCTCAGTTGCCGTCTGTGAGCGAAGAGGGATAGTAATGTGACACGATTAGGGAGTCGTTATTCTTTTGATGTTCTGCCTTATATTCAACGCAGGCATTCAATCATCGCACCTTCACACATGCAGTATCAGAGCGTTGTCAATTGATATTATTCTGTATATGTATTCTCATGTTTCCTGAGATTGAGTGGTTAGAAAAACTCCGAAACATGGATATGGTCCAAAGAATCGGAAGCTGTTAGGAAAACTCTTCAAACAGAATCCATAATCTGACTACGCGAGAATCGCAGTGTACGAAGTCACACTTGAATGGCATCACGGAAAGCATGACCTGGTATTAATCGTTAGGTTAGCGCAAGTGATAATCTAGGTCCAGCAGATCCTGTACTTAAACAGTCGATGGCTCGAATGGAAGCCATAAAAACACAAAAACGCTCACTAAGTTGGATTTCATTGACAGAAATCCCAATACGTTCAGTAGATTTTCTACAAACTAATATCAACTTTAATGTTAGAGAAACACAGGTAGAAAGCGAGTCCAACGACCTAGACTTTGACCTAGAGTTGACTCAACCAGTTCAATAAAGTAAGCTTTGTTATCTTCCGAGAAAATCGCTAACAAATTTTGGGAACGATGGAATACTGAATACCTAACTGAACTTCGAGAAATACAGCGAATTTCTCTCAAATAACAACCCCGCGTGCCCTTACGATACCCAATTATCGGCGAAATAGTGTTGATGAAATAAGAAGATTCCTCCAGACGTAACTGGTCATACGGAAAAATAATCCAGTTAGTGGAGAGTTTAGATGGACAAATCAAACAGCAAAAGTGTTACTACCAAACAAACGTGTTTGTCATAGGCCATTGAATACGATATTTTCATTGGAGATACAAAGCGACGTGGAAGGAACGAATACCAATGATGGTGATTTGTCAGACTTAGATGGTAACGGATCGAATGTCAATGGCGGTCCGCCAGACATGGATGTTGACGCTGCTAATCCTCCAACAAATCACGAAGAATCCCCACAGAGACGGCCACTGAGACAAGCCATGATGAATACTCGAACAATCATACGTATTCGAAAGAAGCTAATTGTATGAAGCTAATGAAAGGCATAGCAGAGCATCAACACCAAAAAGCCAGATGTGTTTTTGGCTATCACAGCGTTATGCCTCATCAATCCAGTTGCATCTGACAGATGATTTGCGAAAAAGGCAATGTTAAGATTAATTAGATGTTTAGATTAATTTAATACAACATTCGAACTATGTATAGGAAGTTTGTGTAGATCCTTTTCGCAGATGGCTATCGCAAACGCGAGTGGTCATTACCTCCAACGCATTAAATAAGACCAAGTTTGGTCCCTGAGGCACGCGCTGGCCGACCAAGAGACCATGGAACAGGCATACTGCGTACAACCACATATTTGTGAACACTCAAAAGAATTTTTATCGAAAAAACTACTAGCAAACTCACAATATCGGCCAAACGGTGCTATAGCATCGCTTGAATTAGTGCTTTATGCAATGATCAGTGCGTCACCTCTGCTTCGCAGAGGCTTGCACCGAGCAATGCCGACTATCACGAACAAAATGTAAACAACTACTTATTCCGAAAGCTTTTTAAGTGAAATCGGTGATTTCGGATGGATGAGATTTTTTGCAGGAGAACAAACGCAAATTTTTATAGGTTTTTGATTTTTCCATGGTCTTGACAGTTGTAATAAGAACAGCAGTCACCGTGAGCTAGATCTTTGTGCAAAAATCTCTTCTGCTCTGTAAAATCTTGAGAAATTGACCATTTATGCAACCAATACTTTTTGGCGCCGTTTTTCTAAAATAATGGACTTATGATCACTTTTTGAGCCTAATTTCATGGTTTGCGCTTTTACTTCGCATAAACATCCACGACTCTGCAAAAAGTGGAATTACGGACCCAATTTTGCAGCCAAATGCAAAGTGGATCCGTTTGACGCGCTGTTGCTGAGGGATCCACAACGAATCTGCTCGTGCTTTTGCGTGTTGGACTTTCAGGCGAGTAACATGCGCTGTGCAAAACTTGAGCCCAGGAGGTTGGCTGGAAAACTCTCTACGAATTTCTTAACAAACAAACAAACAAACAAACAAACAAACACACACACACACAGCCCGTTATTATGAGTAACTGGCTGGCATACCCGGCTATGCCTCTTTGAATTCAGTAATTTATCAGTGTTCAAATAGCTTTACTTGCTATGATCTCTATGACCTACACAAAATGTTTTGCTTGCGAATTTAATGTTGATCTAACTTTGGAATTATGATATTGATTTTTTAAAGTAGCTTATATCCATAGATATAATCACATAGTAAAGCTTAGCAGTATGAATGGAATAAGGGTGCAGATCATATTGCGAGAATACAATGTCCATCTATTCTAACTATTTTGACATTTCTGTTGGGATTTTCTGAAAAGGCGTATTTATTTTACTTAACAGGTTTGCTCGGCTATCACGAATGTACCTGAACATAGTGAGACGGGAATGATTAGCATATCACTCACAATAAGAACAGTTTCATCGCTTCATCCTTCAATCGGTTGCTTTCTATCTATTTCCAATGCTTCATCACAGAAAATTCAACAATGCCTCCATTTTCTGCTCCGCGAAGTGGACTGTGACAAAAGTGAGGGTAGCCTGGAATTTGTTTCCTTATATCGCTACTACAGTTCAAGAATCCTTTGATATTACAACGCATTACGACAAAGAACGTTTCTCTAATCATATAATCGAACATATTTTGTGGACGACTGCAACTATTGCTGTTGTTTTTGAGGGCATAGCTTAGATCCGCAACAGCAAATTCAATGCCTTTGACATAAAGGGCTTACCAATTGTCGTGTCTCTTGCACCAGCACCACCGCTCCCGCGCAGGACCTGCACTTCTTCTGCGAACATGCTCTCTAGTCATTCGCAACAGTGAGGCTCCGTCTTCCCACGCTCGCGGTGGGAAAGTGATGGTCAGGGAGCATAGAGTAGAATGAGTATTGAATGAGAGAGATATAATAAGATCGGGGAAAAAAGGAAGTTTAAATTGTATACATAAATTTCACACACGACCGGTTTCGGGCCCAAGAACTAGACCGGTAGTGTAGCTTTCTTGGTGGCCCATCATCAGTAGTTCCCAAGAAAGCTGCAAAAGTGTAGAACTAAAATGATGGCTGAGAGTAGAATTTATGTAGAATGAGAATGAGAGGAAAATAAGAAGGGTCCTAATAAGTGTGGAGAGGAGACTATTAGAAGTCTTGGAAGAGTGTAAGTCCGACTAGCTCCGAATAGGTAGTAAAAAATCACAGATGGTACATCAAAATAATACAAGGTTTAGTCACTAGTCCTTTAACGTACATCCACGTGGAAATCAAACATACGATGTTAACGGGTACGGGTCAGGAGTCATGTTTTTTGCTAAGCGACGTCTTAACGCAAAGTCAAGCGTTACAAGACTTAACATTCGTTAGTACTCCTCTCGCAATGTGCTATCGACTTATGCTATCCATTCATGTATCTGTTGTCACCTCCACCCTTTACATAAAATTTTGAGTGCTATGAGCGACTAGCGCGCACGGTGTGAATTTTGACTTGGAGTTGATGTTAACTATCAAAATTCTCACGGTTTCTTCATTCAATGCAGCTGGATGGTACATCGAGATTGACGAAATGAGACTTCACTTCAAATTAATGTTTGCCTGCTCTAAAGTTTAGGTGGGACATCATTTTGAAAGTATTACTATAAAAGCGGTTGAGGTCGTACTTAGAGATAATGTCTACAGAAATTTCCAGTATTATAGTTAGCCATCTTCATGGTCCAGGGGACCGTCATGACTATTTGGATGCATGCTACGTCCCAATAACCGTGTGTTGGTATTTATCCAAATCTCCCGCAGGTCTTGTATCAAAGGAAGATGTATAGCAGTAGTAAAGCCGTATTTACGTAAAATGAATGGTCTATCATAAAGTGTATGGTATAAAACAAGAGTAACTTTATTCCCATCCCATCCATTTCTAAGTGAAATTCGATAGAGTTCAAATATTCTATTTTTGAATTCAATATAACATGAACAGTTTCTGTAAATCCTGAGAACTTCCGACGTGAGTGTATTAATAAGTATATATCTTGGTATATTAGAAAGCCAATGTGGGTATCTAATGACCTCAAAACTGTAACTGTCGGTCTTGTTGTAAAGGTTAAATTTAACATTGTTGTTATAAGTTTCAATTGTAAGATCAAGGAAATTTGCTATTTTATTATTTGTATTTATGCGTTCTATTTCAAGAGAGGAGTGGTAAATCTCTGACAGGACATTATCAATATCGGTTGAGTTAGAGACATGAAGTATGTCGCCTATGTATCTGTAAGTGTAATTGTACATGTATCTATTATAACAGTTTGTAATTGTCGCTTGTTTTTTCATGAAGTCATATTCCATATATGCTAATGTAAGGTCTGCAATTTGGGGACTACATGAAGCTCCCTGGGGTATGCCTCTTATTTGTTGATAGATTGTACCTCCAATCTGAGATTGTATTTAACTACTTCGTGAGGTAAGCTTGTGAATAGCTAGAGAAATCTGCTGAATATAATTTTAAATTCCCTTTTACTGCATATAAATCTTTTACAACTTGATTGCTATTTCCTATAGACCATAGATGTTTGACTTTTGTTCTCTGCCAGATAACGTTACAGTAATTTGTAAAGTGTTTTTTGATATGTGTTAATATCATTAGTATTGTATTGGTAAGTGGTTTAAGTATACTTTTTCTAGCCCCTGTTATGAATCTAAATTTTATGGGGTTCTTGTGCATTTTAGGGACACCATATATTCTAGGGATGTCATTAAACTTGGGATTGAATTTGATATTTAGTCCATTCATAATTCTTTTCTGTCTTGTGCGAATTTCTTCTTCTTGAAGTGTAGTAGTGATATATGTGCTTCCTTCTTTGTTAGACTGTTCCATTTCCTTTTTTAACATTATCAAATAAAATTTTTTACAAATGAAACTAAAGTTAGAGTTTGCTTTGTCTATAGGTGCAATAATAAAATGTTGTTGTATCTTTCTAAGAGTTTCTTTGTCATAATCATCGTATTCTAGTTGTTTTTCATCATATAAATTGTATAATTTTGGTTTCAATTTGTTGTTAAATTGTCTTTTTATATCATTTACTAACTGTTCTGCAATCAAGTTGTTTGCTTTGAGTTTGCTAATAAATTTATTCGTTAACTCATTAATCAACTTATCTAAGATCAATTCAATATCTGTTTTAGTGACCAAAGTATGTTTTCTGTATTTTGTTCCTTTCCTTAATATTTCTCTTAATTTGTTGTCTTTTATAAATTCAAGTTTTCCTGTGCATATATGTTTATAACAGTTGTCTACGAACTCCATATATTTCCAACATTCACAATTTTGTCTTTCTAAGACTTTCATCGTAGTATCTTTGAATTTTTTAAGGAAACTGTTGTAATTGAAAATCTCAAGTCCAAGAGGTTTATTCAAAGTATATCTTATGACTACTTTGATGTTGTCAAAATTCTCCTTACTTTGTATATTGATATAGTTTTTAATTGTTTCTCGTAGTTCTGAACTATTACACACTTTGGTAAGGTTGAGTCTATCCATTATGTTTTCCAAATATGGTATTGTTATAATTATGTCGTCTTTATTATGTTTTTTAGTGTTCTTTCTACCCCAAAAAGGTGTTGCTACTAGAGAGTATATCTTATATTTATGTTCAAAGGACAAGTCTGCAAACTCCGGGGTGAATGTAAAGTTAATTAACTTAGTGATGTCTTCTTTATTGAGTGTTCTAAAATAAGTGTATAGTTAATTACTTTGTAATTGATTGATGTTTGTTACAATTTCATTTGTTCTGTCTAGGCATATCCCTCTTTTCTTTGATCTTCTTTTATTACCTCTCTTCCTTGATCTTTTCACCGGACATCTGAAGTAAGGATGGTCTTTCTTTTCTAAAGGATTGATATTATCCGAGATGTTTCCAAACCCTTTAATTTTGATCATTGAACCCAAAGGGATAAGCAGTGACCATATATTGGATCCATTTTA